AGCTTTGCTTCTGGTATCGCTATTGTAGCTAGGTAGACGTCGTGTCTTCGTACGGTGTCCTCAGGGCGTTCCAGTGTCATTTCAGGCGTTTGAAGTTGTTCCTGTAGCTCTGTAGCTCCGTGGTCCTTCTGAGTAGGCGGCTCTTCTTGAGGAGAGGAGGTGTTTGTTGCCTCTGATTCATACGGAATTGTTGTCCCGTTCTGAGGCTGTTGTTCCCCCTCAAACTCCTCATCTTCTTGATCTTGAATATCTGGTATTTCAATGACCTGAACTGTCTTTTCGAACTCTGTTTGGACAAGCTGAGCCTTGTACGAAGGGTCATAAGCCTTTGTCTCATCAAAGGTAACATCTCTTGTAACTATAACCCTTTTAAGTTGCGGAACCCAAATGCGGAATATGTTTGTAGAGTTATAGCCAACTAGGTAGCCTATTTGGGCGTTCCTCTGTATCCTCTCAAGCTTTGGCTTGTTTAGAATAAGGGCATAGGCTCTACAGCCATAAGAGCGAATATGAGAGAGTAATGGCTTAAGTAACTCTGGCTTTTGGCTCTCTTGTAATGGTGGGTGCACCAGATATGAGAATCTAGCCACCCAAGGAAGGGATGAATTTACTAAGACAACACACTGTCTTAGGAAACAGAGCCAAAGGGTTGTAGCTTAGACTATTCCACAACGCAGCAATCAGGTGTATGATGTGGTGAAGTGGTTTAGACAAGTTGCAACAAATGTTGAGTCTGAGAACTCAGGGGTAAGTCAGAGGTTAGCACCTCACTGACTTTTCAAAAACAGAGAATAACAAGATCAATGCTTGGAAGCTTGGAAAAGACGTAGAAGTATGTGCTAGTCGATTTACTGTATTGCCTGCTTGCCCTTTCTTAAGGAAAGGGCAATCCTATTTATGCCAAAGGAGTGTAGTTCTCTTATTTTCCATGACTTTCCATGACTAACCAGGCTTGGTAAATGTATTAGAAATCAAGTGCGACCCACAACTAGCTTGCTAATCATGTAGTGAACGTAAGAGAATCCCATAGAACCATCTCTTGGGTTCCTAGCCTATAGGAAGTGAAAAGGAGGTCCAAGGTCAGAGTACCTATAGACAAATTATGTCATAACTTAACCAATCTTGTGGGTAACTTGAGCGATGACGTGTAATGAATCATAGAGGGTTGTAGAAGCTTCTAGAGCTATCGTTCATGTTCCTAGGCCTCTAGTTGGTAGAGATATGCCATGTGGTAGTATTGGCCCACCCCCTTAAGGAGGAGATTTTCTTAATAACTTGTTCAATGAGTGTCCAAATGATATGCCGTGATGTATGTAGCATAAACAGATGTAGTAGAAGAGTTTGCAGCAATCGTTGAGTAGTATTGTTTCTGTTGTTGGTGTGATAAGCCAAGATATGTATGGTGACTTGTAGGTTTGAGGAGGAGATTTCTAAGTTTGCTCTTGAGTTTGATAGCAAACTGAGTGCAACGAATGTCAGTATGACATCTCTGTAGGTAAGGACTGGAGTAGAAGTCCGTACGGGGTCTCATCGTTTATGACTGACGATGGTGAGCAGTTTATGAGGTACCCTGCTGTCTTGAAAATCTCAGGCCACATTCCTTCTGGTAAGTTGGCTGATTCTTTAAGTGCACGTGATCGTGTGATTATCGTACGGCCTGACCTCTCTATTCCTCCATTCGGCTCTGCTGTATAGGGTGGAGAGATGTGGATTTCATATCCTTCGTCCTTAATCCAACCCTCCCATTCATTTCCAAGTGAGGCTTCACCATCTAGGTGGAATATGCGGATTTGGAACCCCCATCTTCTCCGTACGTAGCTCACAAAGTCCTTAATCGTCTGTAGGAGCGTTCCTTGTGTTTTATCCTTAATAGTATAGACGTGGTTCATGCGGCAATTATCACATAGGAAGTGTAAGGCTTGTGTGCTGCCATTGTACGCCTCTGGCATTTGGATTAGGTCAAGGTGGACCTTCTCATATGGCACTTTTGAGCGTGGTGTAGATCTTCTAGAAATCTGCCTTGTAGCATGCGTAAGTTGGCATACTTCGCACTGAGTATCGTACGAGTCTAGGTCTGTGACGATAACTCCAGCGGTCTTCTCTTGGAGTTTTCTAATGGCGTTTTGGTTTAGGTGTCCCATGCGGTTATGCCATTCCTTTGCAGTGCCTTTTAGGTCCTTACGAGGTCCGTACGAAGATAGGACAACGTTGTCCTGTTGATCCTGAGTGCTATAAACAGCTCGGGTAGGCTCATTTTTGATGTATTCAAGAACCCATTGTCCATGAAGCATTGGAGTGTTGCAGAACGGTTGATCTCCGTACGTAAGTCCTTGTGCGGCGGTATTCCAATGAACTCCCTTTTGGATGAATCGTCTAAGAGAAGCGACTGAAGTGTGGAAGGATGAAACGAGAGCTGTATCTGTAAGGGGTGATAGTCCGTAGAGACTTCTTATCCTCCCCGTTTTGGACTGTAATATCTACAGACCCAAACGCTTCAATCTTCACCCTTTGGTCTCCAGCTAAGAGGTAGCTATTATCTTGACATTCTTGGATATTGTAGAACCTCGTATGGTCGTTGCAGACGTGAATTGTAGCTCCGGAGTCGAGAATTATGCTTTTAGAGAGCTCATAGGCTGAGGTTTTCGGCTTTAGTCCTTGGGAGACTTGGAAGACTGTAGTGAAAGACATAGGTGGATCTGTATTCGTACGGGATTGTACTCCATTCGGGTTGTTGAAATTGTTCTGTTCTTCTGCCTTTTGGATAACGTACTGGAATCCTGGTTTGTCACTTATATAGGCCTCTACTTTAGCTTCAATCTCTTTATTTGGGCGCCATTGCCTCGTACGCTTTGACTTCATCACATAGAGGCAGTCCCGCCACTTGTGTGTTGTTCCGCAAGGGCAGTCTAGTCGAGCCTGATTTTTCTGTTTTCTGCCTCTCTGACCTTGCTGACCTTGTTGTAGGTTGTTCGTACGGCCTTGGAGCGTTGGCTGTAGGTCGCTATTGTCATCCTCTTGTAGTGCGAAAACTCCATGTTCCCCCCTAGGTTTCTGGGTGAATCTCTCTTGCCTACAGTTGGTTCTATACTGTCGTAGGACCTCCTCAAATTCGTACGACTTTGTCTGCTTCTCTAGCTTGTGTTTCCATGGTCCTCGGAATTCGCAAGGTCCTATTGCATCAAGGAAGGTATAGATAGCGTCGTGAGGGTCGATAACCTCTGTTGCCTGTATCGTACGGCCTTGAGTATATAGATTCTCCCAGTTTGGTGTAATGGTGGGTGCACCAGATGTGAGAATCTAGCCACCCAAGGAAGGGATGAATTTACTAAGACAACACACTGTCTTAGAAAACAGAGCCAAAGGGTCGTAGCTTAGACTATTCCACAACGCAGCAATCAGGTGTGTGATGTAGTGAAGTGGTTCAGACAAGTTGCAACAAATGTTGAGTCTGGGAACTCAGGGGTAAGTCAGAGGTTAACACCTCACTGACTTTTCAGAAACAAGGAGTAACAAGATGAATGCTTGGAAGCGTGGAAAAGACGTGGAAGTATGTGTAGTCGATTTACTGTATTGTCTGCTTGCCCTTTCTTAAGGAAAGGGCAATCCTATTTATGCTAAAGGAGTGTAGTTCTCTCATTTTCCAAGACTTTCCATGATTACCAGGCTTGGTAACTGTAGTCGACGTAAGAGAATCCCATAGAACCATCTCTTAGGTTCGTAGCCTATAGGAAGTAAAAGGAGGTCCAAGGTCAGAGTACCCCTATAGACAAATTATGTCATAGACAAATTATGTCATAGACAAATTATGTCATAACTTAACCAATCTTGTGGGTAACTAAAGAGCGATGACATGTAATGAATCATAGAGGTTCGTAGGAGCTTTTAGAGCTATCGTTCATGCTCCTAGGCCTCTAGTTGGTAGAGATATGTCATGTGGTAGTATGAGTGATGTCATGTAATGAATCATAGAGGGTTGTAGAGATATGCTATGTGGTAATATCGGCCCAGTAACTAAGGAGCGATGACGTGTAATGAATCATAGATGGTTGTAGCAATCGTTGAGTAGTATTGCTCTTGTTGTTGGTGTGATAAGCCAAAATATGTATAGTGACTTGTAGGTTTGAGGAGGAGATTTCCAAGTTTGCTCTTGAGTTTGATAGCAAACTGAGTGCAACGAATGTCAGTATGACATTTAGGAGCCAGTCTTCAAGGTCCTTGCCTCTTTGCATTTTCGCAGCCTTTTGCCATTCTAGTCTCCATTCTCCGATTCTAGCTCTTTGAGTAGGTGCGAATTGGTCTCGTAGCTTTCTAAGCATATCGTACGGAGTATCGCAATTGTAGGTATAGGGTAGGAAGTCGCGTTTGATGGTTTCTTGGATCTTAGAGCGAAGCCCCTGAATTGCTTCCTCCTGCTTTTCCCACACCTTGCGCTCATATTGGAAATCAGCTTGTAGGTTTCGAAGCTGTTCCTTCTGATCTTCTGTAAGAGATGAGTATGATTGGCCTTCTACTGAAGGTTGGATGGTCTGGCTACCTGAAGCTCTTGTTGACACTCCAGGTCTTGTTTGAGCAGTAACACCACCACCAGCTTGCGTGGCACTCCGTACGAACTCAGGAATAGGTCGAACGGGCTGTAGGAGTGTAGGAGGGTCCTCGATTGATGGATCGATATACCCTCATACTCCTGCCTTCATTGAAGCAGTTTTGATAGTCTCTATCTATCCACTCGTCCCAGTCTCTAGGGCTTGTGAGGACCACCCCCGCCTTCTGTAGGGTCGCCATAATGATGGTTTTTTCGACTCCTAGGAGGGGTATTAGGTCCGTACGGGTTTCTATAGGCTTCAAAATGCGTCTTGGAGTTGCTCCGGGCTCATAACTGTTGAGTAATCTGTGTATTGTTCTGTCTAATTGTAGCTGCCTGAAATTACGGTGAAGTTGAGTTGGGTCACGTGACCGTATTACAACACTATCCATCGTGTTATCGAGATTTTACTGTATACATACCTGCCAAGGCACATAGGGAGCTACCGGCTTGTACTGTTAATCCCGATGCTGGCCCCGCACCAAGTCGGATCCACGGCCGACAGACCAAAAGCAAAATTCCTGCATTCCAGGGTGTCTCATGACGTATCGTGCCGCGCAAGAAGAATATATTAATTCTTTGAAAGCCGCCCGCCCCGCCTCTTGTTTCCTTCACCTCTCACTCACCGCAGCGTCATTTAAAGCGACCGACCCAAAGCGACACCTTTCAGAACATCACATCACATCACATCTCGCAGTTCTTCGCGACACACTCGTAACCATGGCTTTAGCTGAGACACTCCTCCTCCCTGTGCGCGCCGTCCAGGCGCTGTTCGCGATTATTGTCCTGGGCCTGTTGGTAGATGGTGAGTAACAGAATCACATGCGACAACCCTCTTACAATGCGCTGACATGTTGCAGTCACAACCAACTGGTATGCCACATCTGAAGTCAACTTTCTCATATTCGCATCCGTCTGGACCCTCCTCGCCGTCGCCTACCTCGTCATCGCCCCCCTCACCTTCGCCACCGCAGCGCACAAGTACGCCGTCCTCGTCGCCGAGTCGCTGACGATGCTCTTTTGGTTCGCTGGTTTCATCGCGCTCGCCGACCTGCTTGGCAAGGTCGGGTGCACTTCGAGACAGGGGAAGTGGTGTGGGGAGTCGATCGCGGGTACTGTCTTCGCTGCCTTTGAGTGGTAAGTTGATCTGACGAACTCGATTATGGATTTGCGCTGACTAGGTGATTTTTGCAGGCTGCTGTTCCTTGGAACCACGGCCTTGGCCGCGTTGCACGTCTGGCGCACACGTGGCGGCAGCTCTGAGCCAGCACATGCTATGAAGGTCCAGCCAACGCCATACCAAGGCGCATAGAGCGTTGTTCAACAATGACTTGGCCTGGTGAAGCGGATGGAAGATTTTCTTTTCGCTCCTGTTTGGCTTCTATCAATAGTGGGCGCAGTGGACGCCGTGGATGTTTTCATGATACCCGCTCGAATGCTTTTCCATATTTATGGGATGGAGTTGTTTGCTTTTCGGAGGGAATTAATAGTAATTATCGAGGGTCGTGGTTATCAGTTTCATACCAATTTTTAGCAAATACAGTTCTACGCCAGCTTGTTGCAGCATCCCTAAGATGAATATTACATAGTTGAGTAGGGAAAGATTTTCAGAATAGCATGCTTTTATAAAGAGAATTAACTGTTTTATATTATTCAGCTTTAGAAGTCGATTTTGTTCTGTTGCATCCGACTGTGAGTGCGACCAAGGTATCTTTACATAGTAACGTATATGTGGGGATACATCCCAGACGACAAGGTGGAACAAGTCGCCAAGATACACAGCCAATTTAGTATGTATTTAGATCATTTTTTTACTATCCTACGGGCCTACGTATTCTACTTATAGGCCTCGGGGGAAGCTCCGAAACCCTGACAAACTGAGGGCTCTTCAGCTTCAGCTGTGATGGAATTCGGTGGCCGCATCAGGCCTACTCGTGTACACCACCCTTCGGTTTCAGGGCCAATAGCCCATCGTATCCCAGCGCCCGAATCCTTCTCCCTCCAACAGGATTGCCACGACTTCATTTCTAGGACATATCCCCTCCGAATATAAACTTTGGGAGGTGGACAATATCTAGGTTTTTGGGACGGACACACAGTGTAGTTTGTGACCTTCTGGAGCCGCCAGAGTCGGGGTCTCGATAACTGTTGTGAATAACCTCCATCTCGTTTTTTTTTATTCGAGCGGCGTAGGTCCACGGAAGCTGCAACTCTACCTTGACATATCCCTAGCCTTGCCACGATGCGACCGCTATGGCTTCTCGCATTACCGTTGATCAGGTCGCTGCTCAGAGCTCCTCTTCGCCAGAGAGTGAGAGCATACTCATCATCAAGCCTCGATTACACAACAGGCCTTTGTTCCACAGCAGGCTCCAGTATCACCGCAGGCTTCAGTAGCACAGCAAGTCCCTGTGCCACAAGCAAACCCAGTGCCACAAGCTCTACTCGGTGGTTTGTCCACCTACGAGCGAAGCGAGTAGGTGGCGAAAGCGAGTTGGGTATGCGAAAGCGAGTTTGGGTATGCATCAATACGATGTATATATATATGAATCAACGAGGTAATAGCGTAGTATTGATAGATAACTACCTGAACAATATAAAATTAACAGAGCTATTTTCACTATCTAAACTTTGTACCGACTCATTTTCATCTTCGTCGTCGCCACTCTTGTATGCCTTATACTGTAAGACCACTACAAGCGACTTCAAACCATTTGCTTTACGGTCTGCAACACGCTTACGCTCTGCTTTGCGGTCTTCAATTGCAGACCGCTTAGCCATATTTAGTAGCTGTTTTGCTACCTGAGCTGACTCTCGTAACTTTTTCGCATCCGCCTTTGCCCTTGCCTTTGCTTCCTTCTCTTCTCTTTTTGCACGTGCTTCATGAGCATATAGTTGACCACCACTCTGTAAGCTTTTCCGTGCCCGAGCCTTTGCCTCCCTTTGTTGAAATGTGCGGAGAGCAACAATATCAAGCTCTGTCTTATACAATTCTGCTCGGTGTAAAACCATTGTAGCCCCACGTGCAAAAGCTTCAAATCCATGCCGAGATGGAGAGCTAAAAACCTGTTCAGCTTTCCTTTGCCAATGCTCAACCCCTTGTACTGTCTGCCTACTCGTTTTAGGTGTCATTGTAGTATTGTATGCAATAGGATCTTCATACTCTGGAGTTTCGTTCCTAGCATCCTTTAGTTTATCAATAACTAATGCTGGATTGTATGGCCAAAGTCCAGCTTCCCTCCACCCTGACTGTATAGTCTTTACAGTCAATGACTGGTTGCAAATATGTGATAGATCAGACAGGAATGTTCGAAGTTTATACTCATAATCAAAACTCCGGACTGCTTTATCAAGAGCCTTTTGATGGAAGTGCTTGCACTGTTGGAAAACTTTAACATCAAGCGGCTGAAGCAGATGTGTTGTATGAGGTGGAAGCGCACATCATCTCTGGTGCCAACCTTGTGAATTCCCAGCTATGGGGGCAGGTTGCGGAGCTTGCAGGTTGTCTTTTCATTGTCAGTTATGCCAAAATAGTCACTGCGTTGGCTACCGATAAATGCTTGCATACCTCGTGGAATTATGTGACTTAACTGATCATTAAGATAGCTTATATTATTTGATTGATCGAGACTAGGCTGGTGCGAAGATGGTCCTGCGCTAAACAATTGAAGTTGAAACGAAGCAGTAACAATTTCTGCTTCCATGTCCGACTGGGTAGTCGTGGCTTCAACGTCTAGATCGACGGTTTCCGCCTCCGTCCTGATGCTGGTTTCTGAGGTGTTCCCTGTAGCCGATTAGCCAATGTGATCAAGTGAATCTACATAAAGATAATCTTGCCATCTGCGGGAGTTGCCGCGGGCTCGGTGTTGCTGCGAATACCATGCCAACGCGGACTCTGCTGGGAGTCTTCCTTGGAAAGTAACCATTGAGTTTCAAGAGATGAGAGTCGGACGCACATCTGTAACTTTTGTAGAGGATACAGAACCGACGAGTCATGTAACCCCAGGATGACACAAATCTTGTCATATCCGAGCTCACTGTGTTCCTATGTCAGCTGTAGCACCTACTGGAGAGAACACATACTTAGCTTTCCATGCATGTAATGCACTACTAATGTATAAAGCTGGATGGAATATATGTGAGCAAAGCGATGATGAAGGCTCTCCGCCATCTATGATATTGTGGGCAACGCCATCTACTATTTTCACCAATGACTTGTTAGGAATCGATCTGATAGAGCTCATTTTATCGTTTCGAACTGGAACAAAGTAGCTGCATCAAATAATAGATTATAGCGCTTACTAGCGCAAGCCTCGTACACCAAGGCAGCTTTCGGGCCCCAGTTTGACCAGAGCTTGTTAACTATCGCGTTTGTCATCGCAGCACTGAAGACCCACCGACGTATGGTATTTACACTCGCCGAAGCGGTTTTTGTCTCCACTGACGCTTGTGGACGCAATGTGACCATCAGTGAATCTGATGCTTCTGAGCGCAGTTTATCTAGCAGTTTATGCACACATGCTGCGACAAATGAGCGCTTCCACGCCATCGCCCGCACCTCCCGTACCATGTTTAGCGGCTCCCAGTGAACGTTCTCGAAGCGTAAAAGTCTTTCCTCAAAGCTGGCATCATCTCCCTCGAGCCAATCAGTACAGTAATCAGGTATAGCTGGATCTCCAGCGCAAGCAGGAAGAATAAGTTCCTTGCTTGTCTTTCCTAGTTCCTTCGCAGGGTGCCTTTTCGCAAGATCACTCAGCCCTTTTCGAATTGTGTTCGTAATATTTTTAATAGCCATTTCTTCAATTTCTTCCACAATACCAGGATTTAATATATACTTACCTGCCGAATACCGAATTGAATGCGGCTCTACCAATGACCCAAGTACCATCTGCGCCACTGCCGTCCTGTCACAAGAAGCTCATTAACGCCGATGCAAACTGAACAAAGTGCTGGTATAAATGGTGTCGCACCTCAGCAGTCAGGTGCTGCTCAGGCCAAGGCAGCTGCGGCGAAAGATGTTGGGTCAATCGACTTATCGACGACGATGGTCCCATGCAGCACGGCCCTGTCAGTCCCTCAAAGGCTCGCCATATCAATACAGCCTCCAGAAGCCACCCGGCCGGGAATAGAACTATTCCCCCCCATCAAGGTACGGTTGTTGCAGCCCGAGGACATGCCAAACGTCTGGGCCACCGTGATGCTGCTCAACAATGGTACAGATGTTACATATCAGCTCGGGGGAGAACTCTATCAGTCTCCCAGTGATGATGGAACCTTTTGTTTCCCTGGGCTGACAATCCTTAACGAAGGAATGTATTGCCTTAGGATATTGCTATATCATATGGATATCGACTCTTTCCCTAAAGGTATTGCTCAGGTCGGGTGCGTGGATAGCAATGATATCATTATAGCACCTCGACCTAACTTCACGACAATCTTTGGATCCATTGGGGATGTTACAACTGCTCAAGTCTCTGTCGCACAACCACTATTGTGGCAAACAGTGGATGCCAACACGTGCATAGACGATCACACTGGTTACTTTCCAAACTTGAAAATCCATGCAAGTTCATCTGTTATAATTAAGGAGCGGATCGAGTATCCGAAGATCGAGTATCCGAAGTATATGGTATTTATACCAGTTTTCAATTTCATGCTGGAAACTGCAAATTTGGAACATGGACTCTACAACTTCGGAGATGGGTTGTTTCGGGATGAGGACGGTGTATGGTTTGATGATGGGAAGGTTGAACGGGCTGAAGGCCTAGATGAGTCAATTTGGCTTGGTGAAGATGGGGAAATGTATCGCAAAAGGACAGATGGTGTGTTTAACGGCTTATTTGTGGGGTTGGAGAGAAGGGTGGCGATGGTAGTGGATGGCGACAATAGTGTCATCTGTATTGCGCATAATGTTTTGATTGAACTGAGAGAGGAGTATAATCCAACGGCATGGGACGAGAAGGATAAATGAGAGAATAAAGGGCGGATGGTACGATTCTTACTGGTAGTTCCTTACTGCCTTAAATCACAATTCATAATTTACCTGCGACCATTTGGCAATGTGGACTGTTGGGTGATATATCACAGTGAGGGGATAAGAATTGTATCCAAGGCAGCGGGTCATTGAACAGGTTTCTTGGCTGCATCCTTTGGTATCGCAGGTAAATATCATCATGCTTGCTCAACTTGGTGAGCGGGGAAAGCAGTATCATTGCTGCTCTTCCCTCTAATCCTCCTTCGACCATTGCGATGGAACGGTCAAAACGTATGTTTGAAACAATTAGATAATGGGCGAGCTGTACCGTAGCACCCATATGAGGGAAAGTAAAATAAACACGTAGTCAAAATTCTGTGACATCTTCGCCCGAGCAGCATAGCGGTGGCAGAGTGGTAGTCGCGATATCTGCTCCACCTTCACAACCCCCTCCCGCAAAGCTCACTCCAACACCTCCACCCTCCACCACGTTTCAATCCTCGTTGGGCCGGCGGCACGCTTGCGGCCACGGCCGGACTTAGCGGCGCGGAGGAGGCGGACGCAGGCGCGGATAACGGACGAGACGGCAGACGGCGCGGACGAGACTGACGCGGGGGCGGAGAAGGCAGGCGCGGGTGCGGATGGGGACGCCGATTGATCTATGGAGCTGTTAGTATCTATATACTCGAACGGAGGGGTGTTACTTACTTGCGGAGGCAAGATTGAAGGGGGCCAACTGGGTGGTCGCGGAGGACCAGGTTTATATCTATTCACGGTGTCGCGTGACTGTCACCTGTCTGTATATTTCGGAGATGCCGGTGCCAGTCTACAATACTCATTGCTTGTAAGCTGTGATGCAAGCTCCACTGGAAGAACGTCTGCCGTAATCAATTAAAATAATTAGAAGAGAAGGATATTAATATACCACAGGCGAGCTGATTAGCGGCTTCGACACTAAAAGCCCCCGCGGCACCAGGGGAGGCGGCCATCGTGAGGTCGTCGTCCACAAGCTCCACAGTTCTTCATATCGACTAACCTCGCATCATGTCTTCCACCCGACCCTTATCTGTGAACGCCACTTCTGCCGCTTGGCAGGCTGTGGCTCTTCGTCGTCCTTAGCATTCCTGTCGTCCCATCGGGTGTGTTATTTCTGCCTTTAATGTCGATATCGCTCTGACGTCTTCCATCCCATGACGCCCTCCCTTCTCAGTTCAACGAAACGGACCCCTGTCTCGTCTCCTCTATCCCGCAGTAATCAATTCCGCTTGATCGGATTCCTAATCAAATTCAGGATAGGGCGGCTCATCGGAAGGATATTCCTTGTGTCCTCGATCAGGTGGTTCCATTCTAGCTGAACTATGCAGTATGAGCCTGAGCCTGACTTCCCCTACAGCCAATGGCCCTCTCTAGCTCAACATTCGTTCAGCTCGTCATTGCGGCTCTTCTCCAGCTAAACGGTACGGTATGAGTCGGAGCCTGACCTCTCCTCCAGCCAATGACCCCGTCCAGCTCAGCAGGGCATTCGTTGCATCCTTGATCAGCTCGTCATTTCCGGCCCTCATCCAGCTGAACTGTGCAGTATGAGTCGGAGCCTGACCTCTCCTCCAGCCAATGACTTCCTCCAGCTCAGCAGGTCATTCGTTGCATCCTTGATCAGCTCGTCATTCCGGCCCTCATCCAGCTGAACTGTGCAGTATGAGTCGGAGCCTGACCTCCTCCAGCCAATGACTTCCCCCAGCTCAGCAGGGCATTCGTTGCATCCTTGATCAGCTCGTCATTCCGGCCCTCATCCAGCAGAACTGTGCAGTACGAGTCGGAGCCTGACCTCTCCTCCAGCCAATGGCCCCGTCCAGCTCAACAGGATAGTCGTTGCATCCTTGACCAGCTTGTCATGCGACCCTTCTCCAGCTGAATCATGCAGCTGGAGCCTGACCTCTTGCAGAAAATCTCTAGCTCGGAAATACTTTTTGTCTTGTCCAGCTGAATATCATGCAGCTATGGGCCTGAGACTGGCCCTTTTATTGATGGGGATTCAGCGCCTCTCCAGGTGCGGGTGTGTTTTCGCCGGCGTTGGTTTCGACGGATTGGAGGGTCATGTTTACTCCTTCGCAGCTTCGTCATTCAGCCTCGACGAGGAGTTCAGCTCCCGCACTCCTCCATCCCGTTTCGGAAGTCACGATGACGGCATCTCACTGACTCCGCTCTAACCAATGCCATATTGCAAATTCCAACAATTTACCGTCGATCTCTGGTAGCTCGAATAGCTTCAGGATGTCAGCGCGTTTTGAAGCAGCTTGCTATCATGAATTTGAATCGTATTGCTTGAGTGACTGTCCATGTGCTGTGGAAAGAAAGCACTTAAAGCACTTAATAGCGTTGAGTATGGTATTTCTTATGTGTAAGTGGAACGGCAAATATTGGTCGTTCAGAGCTGTCATTGTAAGCGATGCAGAACTGGCCCAAAAGGAAATTGTTCCTTACTGTTTCCAATTTTGGCGGGCAGCAAATACAGTCGAGGAGCCTAAACTGGCGGTTCTCCGCGCTAATGCGGACCAGTGGCTCAGCCGAACTCAGGCTTGCTCAGGCTTGCTCAGTCACAGGTCAATCTAGCTCACCCCCAGCTCAGGTTAAAGCAGCAACAGCTCAGGTCCAAAGACGGAAGTGGAAATTGGCCATGTCGAGATTCCGGTAGTAGATATCCTGCTCTAAGATTCCGTATTTTGCAACTGTGTTTCGTACGAGGGAGAACCACCCTTCAATTATCTTCGGATCTTCACATTTTGCTCGTTTATAATCGTACTTCTGACTAAACTTTGCTTTGATTTCCGTACGACGCTTAATGAAGTTGGTAGTCCAGTTCTTCCCAACAGGGCTCTCGCCTCGTTCAGAGAGTAGAAGGTCTGCCATTTCTTGCACAGCTTGCGGCCGGGGTGGGAATCCACGTGAATCTAGGTCGATGATGTACTGAACAAGAGCTGACTCTTCGTATGGAGTCAAATTCTGTGATTTGGAAATATAATTGCGTCAGGAAGTCATTCCTTCAATTCTGATGCAGTGTTGTTCAAGGGATATCGTACGATGCTGCAGCTACTCGAACACTATGAAACTGGCCTTGGTTAATTGCACTAATAGCCAATAGTATTCTATCCTCCTGATTAGAGGATTTGCTTGTGTTGTTGGTTGCGGCATGTTGACTTTTGTCAGGTTGACGCGTTTTGGTGTTTTGGTGGCCCACTCACTTGTGTGGCCCACTCGCTTGTGAAATACGTTATATAGTAACAATTACTCGGTGTTCCACCCACTCGCTTCGCTCGTAGGTGGCGACAGCAAGATGTGCGTACACCGCTATTTTGATATATAGAAAAAATAATAGTATTCTTCATAACGTAGTATCTACAATGCCTCAAAATAACGATCCTACTATGATTGCTCGCCTTAATGAGGCCCAACAGTTCTTCTTAAAACAACCAAGTACATATACAATTGCTTGGGTTGCAAATAAATTCAATGTCAACCGTGAGACACTCCGACGTCGTATTACGAGTACTACGTCTCCTCAATTACCCCACGGAGGTAGCAATCGAGTCTTATCTCAATCGCAAGAGACCGCGGTCTGTCAATTCATATACGACCAACTTGAGCGCGGGGTCCCTGCCAACCGATCTATGATACTACGGGCAGTTGCAGACTTACGACCTAATCGTACGATACCATCACAACGGTGGCTACAACGCTTTCTAAAAGCACACCCCGAATTTCATACAATTCACACGAAGACGTTAAATACACATCGGAAGCAAGCACAAAAGAAAGAGGTGTTTGAGGAATTCTTTCTCACATATAACGCCCTTATTACAAAACATAACATTAAGCCATATAATTTATGGAATGTTGATGAGACAGGCTATATGATTGGGTGTTATAAGTCTACGGCTGTTATTGTACCAATCGGTGTAAAGCAGTGGACTGTTGATAATCCTGAGAATCGGCTCTCTGTTACTGTAATTGAGGCAGTAAATGCAAGTGGTGCTGCACTTGCAGAAGCTATCATTATCCCTGGCAAACTTCATATGGATTCATGGTACAATGATGACCTTGAGCCAAATGCTCTCATTATTGTAAATGAGAGCGGGTATTCAAACGACGACATTGCAATCCAATACCTTATGCATTTTATCCAACTATCTGCAGAGCATATGGCACCAGATGATACTCGCCTCTTATTACTTGACGGCCATGACTCTCATAAAACAGAGCGCTTTCTTACATTAGCAGAAGAGCATAACATTGTTATTTGCTGCCTTCCTGCTCATACAACACATCTATTACAACCTCTTGATGTAGCGGTTTTTAAGCAGTGCAAACACTTTCATCAAAAGGCACTTGATCAAGCAGTACGTAGCTACGACTATGAGTATAAGCTACGTACGTTCCTTTCAGACCTCCCGCAAATCCGACGGCAATCTCTAACTGTCCGTACAATTCAATCTGGTTGGAGAAATACAGGACTATATCCATATAATCCTCCACTTGTAATTGACAAGATACAAGAGACTCGGAATCAAACACCTGATTATGAGCCATTTGCTTCATATAATATTATCTCAACACCGAAAACAACTATGCAAAGTGTGCAAGCGGTTGAACATTGGCAGAAGAGAGCAGAGGAAGCTTTCTCATCGCCTTCAAGAGAAGGGTTTCAATCATTTGCACGTGGAACTACAGTTGTTCTACACCGGGCAGAGCTCTATAAGACCGAGCTAGATATTATGACTCTACGTGCAGTAGAGCAGAAGGCAGCAAAGGCAAGGGCACGGAAATCACTACAGAAAGGAGGGCAGTTATATGCATCAGATGCACGGAAAATGCGGGAAGAGAAGAAAGCAAAGTTGCAAGCAAAAGCAGACGCAAGAGCAGCAAGGGAATCGGACCAAGTAGTAAAGCAGCTACAAGCGCAAGCACGTAAAATCGAAATTGAAGAGCGTAAGGTTGAGAGGAAGCGGGTAGCAGAGCGGAAGAAGGAAGGGTTGAAATCAAAAGTGATCATTTTACGGTATAGTAAGGATCAAAGTGATAGTAGCAATAGTGGCAGTAGCGATAGTGATAGTAGTTCTATTGATTTTATGTTTTAATTATATAGTTATATAGTTGATATATAAGGCGTCTTTTTCTTCGTTTTATGTGTCGCACATCTTGCTGTCGCACGCACAACTTGCTGTCGCCACCTACGAGCGAAGCGAGTGGGTGGAACACCGAGTATAGTAATTGCCAACTACCAACTTATCTGACTAAATTACTTGTAAAATATCCACTTAAAATGTTAAGGCGCAAATACCCCCACACGTGATTTATAGGCATGCCAAACCCCGTGACCGGTCTGCTAAGAAACCGGTAGGGGACGGTAGGGTTGGAAGACCATGGTCCGGTCTGGTCCAGGGGAACCGGTGGTCTAGGTTCCCCATGACGCACCCTAATAATATTGAGTTCATTATTCCCCTTGAGCGTTTGAGTCATGATGGTAACAAGAGTTATACTGCATCAGTATAGTTAGAATGGTCGTTGGTGTAGTGCCCAACTCCTGTGCAAGCGGGCTGAGCGACCTCGATCTTCTCTGGCCAGATCCGAAGAACCCTGCAGCCCTATCGATTTTAACTTTGTCTCGGGGATCGGAACATCGAAATGAAGTCGCAGAAAACTGATCTAACGCGCCGGTGAATAGATATTGCTACTTATGTTGAGAGTGGGTTGGTGCCTTTTGTTTTACCAAGGGCTGTCCTGAACACAAACTTCCGATTTCGTTGAATCGCGTCCAATGTCCAGGTCTTGTTTTCATAATGCCTCACATTAGGTTCAGACGACATATAAAAACTCATTCATCTTCTGACGGCAAAGACGTGCCAGATCGACCGGGGAGTAGTAACGTGGTTACCGGCCATAACCACGCTGAGCCTTGTCGTAGCTTGTTCTATCCGCTCGTATATAATAGCTTCACAAATATTCTCGCCATCATCCCAGTCAAAACGGCCCTGTGTGTAATCATGCAAGAGGGTTTTCCCCTGTGTGCTCCCAAGCTTCCACCGTTCGTGCAATTCCATGCCATGGTGCGCGTTAACGATAATGAATATCACTTCTAAGCCGCGGAACCATTCAAACATCTCTTCGAGCGCGCCGGGCATTCTCTCAAGCAGCGCCTCGGGCACGGCATGAACCAGCAATCCGCCCAAAGAGATCTGGCTCAGCTAACCGATTGTAGGGCTCGACAAAAAAGTCGGCAAAATTGCTAAGCGCCACATATAGTGTGTCTTGCTCGTTGTCAAATAGGCGCCCAAAAACAAGTCGCTGCTCCTCCGTGTAAAAGATTATCCTGACTCCCTGTCTATGGGCCCAGGCTAGGGCGGCGCCAGGAGCTTCACGGTTGACAAAATACACCGGTACCTCAATTGGGATAGGATCTAATAAAGCAGGGTTGAATTCTAACCGTATATTGTCAGTGTTGGCAATATATCCCTCGTCGGATTCCGACAGGTCTATCGGGTGCCAACATCCATCTATGTACGGGAACAAGGCTGGCCTGTCCTTCTCAAGCAAGGCATCATTCCATATCTGATTGCGCAGTTCTGGAGGGAGCTCTGAGAAGCGAGGAAATGTGAAGGGATCAGTTGCTGCTATGGTCGTTGACGACATTGTTCTTATATAAAGTTATGTACCGAACCCAAGAAGGGACGCAGGGAGCTGCGACGGCTTAAGCTGTCCCCTTGTCTTTGATTTTGAGATAACGTTTGACTGGTGCGGAGGCTTCATTTTATGGGACCAAAGTAGAGTACTCTTGTCCCTGTCAAAATAGTGGGGAAGTGGCAGTTCTGGATCAGGTTCAACGCTAGCGTATTCGATGTTGCGATGGGAAATTTATTTCCTCCGCGTTGGTTTGAAATATGTAAAGATTATTTTCATGTTAGAGATTAGATTCATGGCAATGACTTGTTTCTATATTCTTAGTGTCTACCTCTCGGTCAGGTGCGGCAGGAGCGGCAGACGTACCTGCCTTCAGTGCCTTTCGGTCAGGCGGGGCAGGCGCGCGACAGTCGTACCTGCCTTAAAATCTAGAACCCGTCCAATAGAGAGATAATATGGGGTAGCCAAAACACCCAATTGTCCCCAAGGCACGCCATACATACTCCAGCCGGTTTGCTAATGGTTTATTGCACATTATACAGGAAGCCTGGTAATGTCGCGTGTTTTTGAAGATTATATATGACAGCCTATTTCATACATCAGTCCGTTACTACAATCTCCATTCTGCGAGCTCTGTGAGTTCCTTGTCCATAAACTCCAACACCCATGCAATGCATTCTGCCGATCAAATCCGTTATGCAGCCTGTTCCCCTCCTGTGATATACAATGTTGCCCATCCCAGCCGGATTGCCCCGCAACGCGTCCTCCCTCGTCACTCTCTTATTCGGACACCCATCACTCCTGGTTCTGGTTGAGGGCCTGCTCTCTCTTCAACCTCTGCTCCCTGAGATATAACCTCTTCGCCCGTAGTCGATCTAACTCGCTCTTGATCTCATCGCGCTCGAAAGGAATCTTATGGGTCTGTTCGGGTTTGGGCCAGAAGTCGGGGACTTGGAAGCGCTTGTCGAGGTTGTGGCCGTAGTAGAACATGATTCCGATAGGGAACATGATGTACATGCCGAACTGGGGTAATCGTAAGCAAATGATGCTGGCTGTGGCGGATTGGAGGAGCATTGTATGGAGGACGAACTACCAATGCGTTGGAGAGCCAAACTGACCTTGAAAACTTCCAGATTGGGACCAGCCATGGCGGCCACTATGAGGGGGTGACTGGCGTGAAGCCTTGCTATTAATTCCTCGGGGTAATGAGAGGCAAGCTGTCCTCGTTGTATGGTGATTGAACAATGTCGTCTCGATGGAACGGTACTTGCCGATCTATTTCGGAGAAGTAGTTATCAGTCACGTGCTACCGATAACGTGTTATCGATCACGTGATGCATTCATTATAAGATAGCTGTCAGGTACGAATTCATGCCTCGGCTTTCGCCCGGCTGTACCAAACCTACCCCACACGATCTATAGAACTTAGTCTGTAGGTGATCATCCATGGGTTTGAGCGGCTGGAATATAAAAGTCGCTGAATGTAATCATATAAGCGTTTTCTTCTTTCATACATTATTTCTCTCCAACAACCTGTATTTCTGTACCAAACTGTAAACTTTTTGTTGAAGGCTACTCGAATACCATACCATAAACAGTCACCATGGCAGGAGCGAATGACACCGTGAGAGTGGAGTACAAGGGACGCATTGCAATTATCACTATCGATAACAAGAAGAAGCTGGGTGCATTGGATGCCGATGGATATTACCTACTAGCCAAGTATATGCGTGAGGTAGCAACACATGACGAAGTTATCATCACAGTGTTAACAGGAACCGGAGGCTTCTTCTCTGCGTGAGCTCCTCCAACTCAACCAAGCCTCAAGAACAAACTTGCTATGGTCTAGGCGCCTAAGAGCCAAAGTCACTAACATGCTCGCAGCGGCGCGGACGTCACAGTTGGTCGTGAAGTCTCCCCAGGAACCGATCTCTACCGCAGTACCCTGAGCGGTTTCGTCTCCAACAACCTCAACATCACCCACGCCTTCTACTCTCACCCAAAACTCCTTGTCGTCGCCCTCAATGGCCCCGCCATCGGCCTCTCCGCTGCCCTGACCGGATTCGCGGATTTCATCTACGCAACCCCAAACACCTTCCTCCTCACGCCATTCTCATCCATCGGCTTAGTCGCCGAGGGCGGTAGCTCCATTGGGTTTGTGCAGCGACTCGGTATTAGCAAGGCCAATGAGGCCCTTATTCTGAGCAAGAGGATCGGCATCGAGGACTTGGTTTCGACCGGGTATGTCAACAAGGTGTTCGATTTCAAGAAGGGCGACCCCAAGTTCCTGGAGGCTGTTCTGGCCGAGATTGATGACAGCATGGGCGACCACCTGGTCGGATCCAGTTTGACCAAGATCAAGGCGCTCATCCAGAAGCCGATGAGGGATAGGCTGGACGCGCAGGGAGTGGCTGAGGTTTTCGGCGGCTTGGAGAGGTTCATGGCTGGGATTCCCCAGGCGGAGTTCAGGAAGCTCGCAAGTGGAGAGAAGAGACATAAGTTATAGATGCGCATTGCTTTACGCAGTGCCTTTGTATTCCCTAGAAGCTATTTTATGCAATGATTCCCAAAATACAGTGCCATTACCACCAACACCAGTCCCACAATCTACCCATGACTATGAACGCCGCATTATGCATGTAACCGATAAATCCATAAACCAACGAAGGCTTAAGCAGCGCTCTTCCGTTCCTTGTCGTCATTTCCGCTCTTCTCAAGGTTTTCCCGCATCCTTTCCTCCTGCTTCCTCCAATGAGACCCTTCTTCGTAGTTCTTGCTGATTCCCAGGGCGTTCCTGAACCGATCGCTCTCTCTGATCTTTGCTTCCGCCAGCTCGTGTACTTGATGGGACTTGAGTCCTTTCGCATCTCGCCTATCAGTTCCCTTCTTCATTTCTCCCAGTAACTTTTGTCGTAGCGCCTCGGTCTGTTTTTCAATCTCCTCCTCATCGACACTGTAGGCAACGTTAGCATGGCCATGGTTGCGGAAATGGCTGGAGCAAGCAACGCACCCTTCGTCTTCTAACTTGTCCTGAAGTTCAAAAACTTTCACCTCAACGTCGCGCTTCCGGTCATGCTCGAGGATTTCCTTGTCGGGCTGGCGTTGGCGGTGCTTCAGGTCGCCGTCGGTAGGGTATGGCTTGAACTGTTCTCGGGGTTTGAGATGCGCAAGATTGCGCTGGACGTAGCCCGAGGTACCACTGCCTCGAGGGGTCGTGAGGCCAACGTTGGAAGACATCGCAGCTGTACTTAGATGGGGAGTGATGTCTAGTTGAGAGAACAGATGTTCGTGGTAATGATGCTCGGCGGCTTGCCTATCGTCGTTCGTCCGTCGTGAACAAGGCTAAAGGTGGCAGAATTATTTTATGAACTTATCGGGCTGAGTGACTCAATTCCAGTAATCTTAATCATACCAGACCAATTCCCATTATACTCGTATATAATCTTGTTTCTCTTTTTGATCATTTAAGAATTTACCGTCCTCTTTGATTCAGTAAGAAAAGATCCTCCAAGTCTACCACAACACAAACGCCACCAAAATGCCCGGCGTCGACCCCTCCGTGATCGCGCCAGAGGACGAAGGGCCTTTAGAAAGGCTTCCCTTCCCTCCCGTCACAAAGCAGCATATTTTAAACTGTTCTTATTCTTCCTGGTACCCAAAGTTTGTCCATCAAAGCAACTAAATCTTTTCCCATCTAACAGAACCCAGATACCGCACCTCAACCCTCCGAAGTCGCCTCATCCCACTCACAGCCGCCTTCCTCGACTACTTGCGCGAAGACGGACTCTGGCTCCCAGACGACGATGACCAACCCTACGAAGAAACAGAATGGTCAGCCGCAAACGCCGACAAACACGCAGACCCCGAGTTTGAAGCCCAAGCTCAGCCAAACGACGCATCAGCATTCGCAGACGTACACAGTGTGATTAAATCGACTATCGCAGAGCTCGGCGGCTCCGTTGTACCCAAGTTAAACTGGTCGGCGCCCAAGGACGCGCTGCACATGGCGCTGTCGAAGAACTCGATTGCTTGTCAGACGCCCCAGGATATATATCTGTTGCTTAAGAGCTCCATCTTCGTGACTCATGACTTGGAGCATGCGTTTGACGATTGTGCGAATCCCGAGCATCCGCCGTTTATTAGAGACATCGAATACTCTCTCGTCCTTCGACCATACTTCAAGATCAATACCTCATTCGAGTTCCGAGTATTTGTGCGCGACCGAACTATTGTGGGGATTTGTCAGCGTGAGCTGAAGCATGTCGATTACAGCCCGGAACTCCTCGACAAAATACAACCCGAGATCGAAAACTTTTACGAGAGCAAACTGAAGGACTCGTTCCCGGATCCGAGTTTCGCTTTCGATGTATATTTGCCCGAACCTCACGACAAGGTCAGGCTCATTGACATCAATCCCTGGGCTCAGCGTACGGACCCATTGCTGTTCTCCTGGCTTGAATTACTTATCATGTCACTGCCTAAGCCACTTCTGGGACAAGGAGACACCTCGGAGAGCCCGGCGCTGCCGGAAAGGAGTGCCGAAGAGGAAGCGACTGACACGGAAGATGAAGGCGTTGAGGAGCTGCCTTTCAAGGCGGAGTTCAGGGTGGTGAAGAAGGATGATCCAGAAGCTTATAACTTCGGAACCGCGCCATACAGTGCGCATAAGCTTCCGAAGGAAGTCGTGGAGGCGGGTGAAGAGGGAGGGGAGGCTTGGCGAGTTATTATGGAGAGGTGGGAGAAGCTGGGGAGAGGGGAGGCGGATGATGATAGTGATGATAGCGGTGACCAGTGAGTACATCAGCGTAGAAAAAGAGGATGGTACAAAAAGGGATAACCTATAGAGCTCAGAAGACACGCTATAGCTAGAAGAGAACACAAAAGTAAATGGCTCCTGCTACTATATCTTATCGTTCGGGAGCAGTTTGCCGCACGGTCAGCTCAGTCACGTTTGTGAAGCACTGGAGTGATGGCTACTAAATCAAGCCTTATTCAGTTAATATATTATCTATGGCCAAGGTGAAGAAACTAATCCGAGGTTCTATTCTGCCGATGCCATTCTACAACATAAATCCAAAACTATGACCATACAAGTTCCGTCTGAATAAAATGCAAAAACCCCCGGTTTAATTAATATGGCGTCGTCATAATCCAGCTCTCCATCGACGCCGATTCTATTTCTAATTCTGCAACATGCGTGAATGTCTCCTTTCGGCCATCTTTTCAAAATAGTGAGCAATGAACATCTCGCTGCAGGGACCGTTAGTTCATCGTTGTACTCTAATATATCAGACCATAGGGGAGAAATACTTACGTATAGTAGCTGTGATTAGAGCTGTGCTCCTTCACAAGATTATGCGCCAATTCGTGTGCGAGGACAACCCACCACCAACTCTCTGCCTTCGAAATCCCCGCAGGGTTCTTATATTCGTTCCAATGTAGCTGCAAGAAGAACCTCAGGTTGCAAAACAGGCTTCCGGTAAGGTTAAACGCAATTGTGTTGCCTACTTCGTCGTAAAAGATATTGAGAGCATTCCTCGGAATATTGTAGATACCGCCGACGTCGTGGAGCATCTTTGAAAATGCTTGTATTTGCTCAACGTTCTGTGCGAGGAAGACCTCGTTCATGACGGACATGTCTCTGGAGACATAGATCCGCATCCCGTTCGACGCTTCTCCAATATGGGCAATATTATTCTCGGATGTGCTGTCACAATATGTCGATTGTTCCTTGACCTGGTTGACACTGGGTGGCGAGAATACAGAGGACGAGTTGTGTGCTCGAGAGGATTGAACTGCGTTGGCTAGGTTCTGCTGAACAGCAGCAGGCGAGCTCACTTTTTCGATCTCGCCGGGCTTGCGCGGGGCAGGGGTCGCGTCGCCAGAAGACGAATGCCCGCGATTAGATTTCGAATCAGAGTTCGACCGAGAGTGGCTCCCATGGCCACCTAAAAAGCTCTGGAGCTGTTGTTGAGCTTCTCCATCACCAAAACCAAGTTTTCGTGTGAAGCTCGAGAATAGGTTTCGGCTCTTCCTCTGGGAAGCAGGAGACGGTGAGTTATTGCCAAATGCTCCAGGCATATCAACTTCATCCGAGTCACGATATCCAGATTGATCTTCTTCGACCTGGTTTTGCTTTACTGTTCCACCCCTCTCCTTAATTTGTTGCTCTTCAATTCGGAGTTGCTTCTGTCTCTCATCCTCGGCGATGCGAGCTTGGGCCGCTTGAGCTCTGAGGATACGATCGACATTGAACCCCCTTCGCTTCAAACCTTGTAGGTCAGATGTAAGGAGTGATTCAAAGAGTGTTGCAGCCTCGTTATTTGGTCGTTTTAACAGATTCCTGACTAGAGCCTGGCTGATATCGTAATAATCTACTCCGTATGTAATATGTAAGGCCATCTTCTTGGAGCGCGAATCATTTTTCAAAACTGCGGTCTGCTTCGAATTGTAGGACATCTTATATCCCCGTAAGGATATCTTGATAGATATATGGGTGACATAGTCCACCACAAGATTGTTCTCGAGATATCCCTTAGAGTGCTTAAGCTGGTCTGATGGATAAGAATGCAAAAATACCTTAGATCTTTCAAGAATTTTCTTCTGGATCTTCATGCTCGCACTCTGGTCGATGAGCGGATCACCAACGGAAATCTTCTGCTCAACGAGTTGTCCTACAGCCACCGAACCAAGATCAAGGTAGAATTCTTCAAGGACGTCTTCCAATGGCGCGGCAAGGAGGTCTCCTTTAAACAACTGGTATGTTGTGTAATCGTCGACAACCACAATTCTGGCCGCAGGCTGCAAAACCCACTGCTTGATGCCGGCACTGCTATCATCGTCATCGCAAAACAGATCCACGAGATTCTTTGAGTTTCTGTTTTTTGGTTCGTTATTGGCAGATATCTCTTTTGTCGCCAGGAGGAATGGTGATATTCTCATTTGAGACCATAACAACTTGTCCCTTTTCAAATCCGCTCGTGACATGGCAAGCAGTCTCAATAGAGATAAGTATTTTTCTGGACTCTGAACAATGCCAAGTACACGAGCTGGCTCTGAAGCAAGCATTGTTGCAATGTGGCTTCTGGAAGGCTCGTGGCTTGAGCCGCAAGCAAGGAGGAACCTGTTTGCCTCACTGCCAAAGTCAACGAAGTCGAAAATGTCGCCATACGTTTCCAATTGCCCAATGAAGCACATTCGGGGTGCAAGATGTTTGGGCCCTTCCGCTCGTTTCTCTGGAAATGAGCTGTTCCCAATGTACTTTGACTTTGGTGGAACTGGAACAATCTGGGCATCTCCGAGCTTAGCAGCATGGCGGGTGAACTCTGCTTCTCCAATTCTGGTTGAAAAGTATACAAATAGAACCCGCGCCTCGCCCTGGGTTTTTGGTGGATTTTTAATCAGCCGTTGCACTACTTCCTCCAACGGAGGGTTCTCGGCAACTCCAAGTTTCTGCGGAAGCACATTAGCCAGCGCCTGTTACATGGTGGAGAAAAACATACCGAAGCGTGGGGTATTAAATCCTTCCGCAGGACATTGAATCCAAACATAAACGCATTTGCGTTGGTGAATAATGCCGAAGGAACCGCCAAACCCTCCCCCTTCCCTTCTATAGGAAGGAAGGGCCTAGTAGCCTTTGCCAAACTATACGCACTATATTGGTTGGTCTCATAATTTGCGATGAAGTACGCCATTGACTTGGTTCTCAAAGTCGTGTCCGTGGAAGCCATCATTACAACTAACTCGTGTACTGTGGGATAAGACCTCAGTCCAAGGGAGACCAAAAAGTTTGCTTCTGGACTGCCTGGACGGTACCCAAACTTGCCAGTCCACTGGATAATGGGTACCTGCAGGTGCCTCAGATCAGCCTTGGGTTCGAACAGTTCCGATATCTTGTAGCGCTTCGCAGATGCTACGCTAGCTTCTTGTCCTACCAGTCCTGCTTCAGCAGCACATATTGGTGTTTCCCGCAACTTCTTCATGTCCCCGATGGGGATATCATCTTTCACGCCTGCCAGATACACTATTAAGTCGACATGGTTCCACCTTGGAACTGCAATACCCGATCCGCCTTGGGCACCAGATTCAACAGGACTCAAAAGTCGCTGAAATATTGTGTCCAAGTCAACCGTTTTCCTTACACCAAGAGCGCTAAGAAATTTTTCTTTGACGCCAGGGCAACCGACAATAGTTGGTAAATCATCAAATAGCTTGATGCTTGCGAAGTAGGAATCACTCGGCTTACTCATGCCAAGTTTGGTTGGTATTACTGTCAATGGCGCCAAAAGCTTAATTATGATCGCTTTTGATTCCACAGGCATCCCATCCCATTGCTTTGACAAAACAGCCAATACTTGAGAGGATAATTTTGGTGACCAAGTGATATCTTGTTCGCTCGACAAGCCATTACGCCCCTTGGTAGATTCGGCAAGAAACCCAATCCATGTTGAAGCTTCTAGAGGCTGCCAGCCTAAGGCTTGAAGCTCGGCATTTGTGGTGGCATGTGTGATGTTATATGGAAGAGTATTTTGCGGAATGGGGAACTCTGGTGGGACTTTTGATGGCTGTATGAAGTATTTGATACTTGAAAGAGAAATAATCCCTCCCTGGCTCTCACTTTGCCCTACAGTCGCAACAGTAGTTTCAAGAAGGCTTCTCATAGCCGAAACATCAATGTTTGATGCCAGTGCTTTGCGACCAATCCAGCCGATAAATGCGATGAGTTGTGGCGTAGTCAGTGCTTTTGATCCAAGCTCCTTTTTAACGTCGGCAATAGTAATATCGGAAATGAGCCCATAGTCTCGGAGCTTCTTTACCATCTTGGTTTCAACAAGTTGTTTCGGGAGGGTAGGAATGCGTTCCACAAACATGCTAAGGTCTTCAATCGCCAACCTAACAGTTGTAGTTGGTAGAACACCCCTTGTGCTGTAAATATCCACTGAAGCCTTTTGAAATGATGTCCAGAACGATTCCTCAATAATTTGCGAGATTTGCGCGCTGGGGGTAGAGTCCTCAAATGTAAATGATGCCAGGATATGTAAAGCTGCGGGCATAAACTTTTCCACGTCCTCTTTAAGTATCTTCCCAGGGCGCCCTCGTGATTGAGTCCAACGCTGGAGCCTGTTTCCCAAGTCGGACATCTCATTGCCATACGCAACACGGCTGATTATGCCAGCAACTCGCAACATTTCCATATTCCAAGTGCGAACCCATCGTGCATTCAAGTCGACGGCTTCGCGTTCGACGGTTGGAATTAACGATGGAGCAGAGAGATGGACACCTGCACCAGTAGTTTGGTTCGTGGGAAACCCAATAAATATTCTTCCTCCGTTTTTCTTTCCAGGCAAGACAGACGCAAAAATGTCGACGCCGTTGGCTATTTTGTTGCCATTAATACCCTCTTTTGAGGCCGTAGCCTCGTCATATAAAGATGACAAAAGGGCAAGCCTGGTGGATTTTGGAGGGGGTTTCTTCGTTGCACGCTCGAGTTCTGTGGCAAACGTTGATGTCACAGAGGTACGGATGGCAGCTGTTGTTACCGAAAGGAATACATTTGCCGTTGTCTCTTTCGTTACATCTTCAAGTATTATTTCTTGGAATGCTTGCGCTTCCTGTGCCACCTTCGATTTTAAAGCATTCTGGCTGCTGGAAGAAGTGAGGCGAGAAAAGAACGAGCGAATGGACGGAGCCTCCAATGCATGGCGACCATACGTCGTTTCGCCAAAGGCACTCGACTTGGGAACAGAGGCTGAAGCTGATGGACGCCATCCAACCACATTCATGAACGTAGCTGTCATTTGGACGCTTTCTCTGCTCAGACTTTCCACCTTCATAAGCCGTTCCTTTGTGGTGGTTTCGATATCTTTTGGAATCGCCACGCCACTGCTTGGCGAGGCCTTTTTCTGGATGGAAGCAATCTTCCAGTCATCTAGCCACAGTTCGACGTTCTTTAAGGCGACAAATGTCATGCTAGTGGCCAAAAATTGGCAGATAGAAATAAGACTGGGTACCGGAGTTGTGTTGTTGCGATAATCAAGTACGAAGCTGGTGTCCCGTGTCCCCTCTGGTACTTGGATCTGCCTTGTGAAGAGGCTGTCTTTTTTCCAATAGAATGCCATGGCCTTTTTCCCAGAACTGACAAATGGTTCCTCGCAATCTGCAAAGACGGAATAGAATCCGACTCCAAATGCACCAATCTTGTCTTCGTTCGGATTTCCCTCCGCAATACGCTTCAGCCTTGCCCAGTCATTATCTCCAAATGGCAGACCATCGTTTGAGACGAGTAATCGACGGAGCGTGGCATGTAGTAGCGTATGTTTGAGAAGGTCGAATGGTGTTGCATTGCTGGGAAGTGGTACTGTCGTCGAAGGCGTGGTTTCGAATTTAACCTTCACAGTATCGGCCTGAGCATCGGCGGCATTCTGAATTAACTCTCGAAGTGTCGTCCATTCTCCAGAATACCTCGCCAAGACCTTGTCGATTAAGGCCCGGGTATTGACTGTGACAGCTTCCTCATCCTCTCCGAAGCTCAGCGCTTGAGCTCGAAGTTTCGTGAAATCCATGTTAAACTTTTCCTGCCCTAACAATATAGCAGTTGCGTCGGCCTGTCAAACACACAACATCGTTGTGTGCCGAAATAGAAGGTATTTATGTGTTACAAAGAGAGGCCAGCAAGGCTTTGGAAGTGGCGAGGCTTCTTTAGCTCCGACTGACCAGCAGAATGACTGATAAAGAGAGATCGTTCGAGGGTCGTAAGGCTGGTGAATCTGCCCAATCTATTTGGCCAGGCTGATTTCAGGGCACCTGAATCGTCTGTGACCCGAGTGGCTCAACTAAAACCTGCGGGCTGACTGGAACGGTTAGTGGGGTCATTATTCTTCCGACACCGAAACCTTAATTAGATTTCCCCAGATGGTCCGTCGATCGCCTGCATTGTTGCATGTACCAAAGATCCACCAAGGCTGTCTATCTCTGAATTGCGCCAACCATCATACAGCACAGCGTGAAAAGCGTGGGTGCATTCAAGAAGGCATTATGGCGACACGGGCTTTGGATCCGCCTTTGGACGAAATACAATGGCGCTCTCCGGCATGGGCGCAGCAAATGATGGGCATACACTCGAATTCAGGTAATTTACACCTAGCCCTGTGTCCTTCTCGACCGAACTATCTCATACTGACAGTGTACCTCAGTGCTTCCATATTTTGCGAAATCGCCATTTTTCGATCCGACTTCGAATAATGCGGTCCTTGAGAACCAAGCAATGTACAACCAAAACATGGTGAACATTGTCGCAACTCGTGAAGCGTTCGAAGGCCGCCTGAAGACGATGTCTGGGTTGGAATACGTTGTGGCACAAGAACCCGCCGAGACGGCGCCTGGGACTGGCACTGGAGTTTGGGTTATCAGGAAGCAGACACGGAGGAAGAGGCAAGGCCAGGAAGATGACATCACGATCCACTCCACGTATTTCGTGATGGGCGAAAATATCTACATGGCCCCAGCCTTCCTCGATGTGGTCCGCAGCCGCATGGTAAGGCTCTCCAGATTCCCACACTCTATGCCACCACCAGTCTAACCTGAATAGCTGTCCATTTTTACCTCTCTCGATAAGTTCGTTTCAGCCGCAAACGCCCTCCCCAATTTCACGCCTTTGTCAGGGCATACGTATCTGCCCCCGGTAGCAGCACGCCCTAAGGCAACCGATTCGCAGCTAGCTACCCAAACAAGCCGGCAAAGTAGCCCACTGTCTGATTCTGCAGGGGGTTCCAGGAAGCAGGTTGCTGGCACAACTAGCACATACATGGATGCGCGCCTGCTCGACGAGTCTTTTCAGCTTTCCATGCGCTATGGCGACGAATACATGGACGAAAATCCTATTACTGGTCATCCAGGTGCATTCAATCTCACGAGTACTGGACGCAAAACCAAAGACACTTTAGGAGCTGCAGCACAGAAGGCTGGCCTTCAAGATCCATCTAAAATTGGAGCTTCACCTGTGGACGAGAAAGCATCCGACATTCCGCCAACAAGAAAGAGCAGTAAGGCGGCCGATAAGGCCCCGAGGACTCCGGGAATACCAAAGCCGAAACGAAAGAAGAGTAAAGTGCTTTCTGCCAGTGGTATTGCACCGGTTTAATTCGGGCCTTCACAGTTCTTTCGTTTTGTTGCAACCATTGGGTTAGTGTGAAGGCGTTCTTGGCGGGATGATACCCTATCAATATTAGACCAAATAGTTTGTGGTGAATGAATTGATATGCATTTTAACTATTTGATAGAGGCCATGATTATGTGTTCGGTGTGAACTTGGCTGTATTAAGTAGTTGCAACACTAGTGATCTAACTGGGATCACTTTCTCCGTAACTAAGGTTAAATTAATATATCCAACAATCTTGATTCATTCGTAGATATCCCTATTTGGTTTTATTCGAAAGAAAATGGGGACGTGGACATTACGTCCCGGAACATTAGACGCGCAAGCCTCGCTGCAAGACCTGTCATTGTGGGGGGCGGCAGCTGACGATGCCCCGCCACCAACCCACCCCTGCCATGGTTTATCCTCGTGGTTGTCACGACCAACATCACGCAGCACCCTCTAAATTTAAACTCAAACAGGGTCCATAGAAGCTCTCATACGAACATGAGCAGACTAAAAGTGTATAACTTCATTTAAACATTCGAAGCCGCCAACCCCATCTGAATACAACAGAGCTCTATAGCTCTTAAGCCAAGGCACAATGACGTCGCGCAGCGAACCCTTCCCACCATCCCCGTCAGCCTCGTTCTACGCCCTCAGCGACGATGAGGAAGGGGACTATAATACGATAACACATACAAGCTCTGGGCGGGGTGTAAAGCTTCTTTACTCAAAAAGCAAGGTTCGTGCCCTATATTTCAGCTCTTGTGCAATCCGTGCCTCTCCGCCAGATTGGCCCTCAGACCATACTGACACCCGCGACAGGTTTACATTCACCCGACCCCATCAGCAAAAGATAATATTCCTGGGTACATCGCTCTATTACAACAGAAGACGCCCCAGCTAGAGCGTCCAACGTCGTCATCCTCATCGGCCTCCAAAAAGAGCACCGTTGCTCCATCCCTCTTACTCGCATGGCTTCCCGAAAGCTCCCTCGGCGATTCGCGAGACATATACGTCAAGGTTGACCTCTCAGAGGGGGACTCTCCACCCAAGCAGTCATACCTAGTCCCTCCTCCGCCGACTGCGACTTCCCACGGGCCTACTGTCGGGCCCTATGCGTTTGCCATACCCGTCAGCGAGATTTATTCTCTGCTTGTCCGCCCCCCAAGTCTAGGATGGTGGTTTGGAAGTGTTATAATCAACAGCCGAGCAGGCGACAGTTTTCCCGCTCTATTCTTCCACGACAGCGAGTGTCAGTCCACTATACTGCAGAAGAAGCGGAGAACACGGGAAAGTTTTGATCCATTCGGCGCGCATGGTGAGATGTTCTGGGGCGGCGACGAAGTCCTCCGGTGGATCAAGAGATATGTGACGGTTGAACGGAGCGGTGCCGAACCTAATATATACCTTATTGAGCCTAGTAAGGAGGACAAAGAGGCGTTTGGTGAGAATCCTGTGACAGACAGCATAGTACGGAGGGCGTCCAACTCTGCCGGCTCTGGTATGCGCATCGGCGGCGCGCGGGGTGCTGGCTTTGGCAGCCGTGAAAGATCTTCGTCGTCGAGAGATGACGGCGGTATGGATCCGGTCACCAAATTGTTAAAAGAGACAGGGTGGAACATCATGAATCAGTTCAGCAAGGTTACGACGTTTGCCAGAAGAACTGCCGAGACTGTGGTTGAAGATAATAGAATCCCTCCACAGATGAGGAGACTTTTACGGAACCCCGAGGTTCAGACGATTCAAGAGGAATTTGATGGTGCCAGGGTATATCTTGCTCGTTGGGCAATGGGGATACAAGAACAGAGCGAAAGAGACCGGAATCAGCGAATATGGACCGCGAGAGATGTTCTTGAAATGGAGGAGACAGGTGTGGGAGAATTTGAACTGCTCGATACGGAGATGACAGGCCTGAGTATGAAACAGAAGAGGAAGCCTGTCACACTTACAGAGTGGAAAGGATTTTTCGACAAAGCTACTGGAAAACTAAGTGTTACCGTTGATGAGGTTAAAGAACGTATCTTCCACGGCGGCCTCGACACAGAAGACGGAGTCCGGAAGGAAGCATGGTTGTTTCTCTTGGGTGTCCATCGCTGGGACAGCTCTGCAGATGACCGCAAGGCAGAAATAGCAAGCTTACGTGACGAATATGTCAGGCTCAAGGGTGCTTGGTGGGAGAAGCTTGAGAACCTCGGTGGATCCGGTGAAGTTGGGGAGTGGTGGAGGGAGCAACGGAACCGCATCGAGAAAGATGTTCATCGCACCGACCGAAATGTGCCAATCTTTGCCGGCGAAGACACTCCCCATCCAGACCCGAATTCTCCATTCTCTGAAGCCGGCACGAATGTCCATCTTGAACAGTTGAAAGACATGTTGCTCACCTACAATGAGTATAATCAGGACCTTGGATATGTCCAAGGAATGTCCGATCTTCTGGCTCCAATCTACGCTGTTATGCAAGATGACGCTGTTGCGTTTTGGGCGTTCACGAAGTTCATGGATCGGATGGAACGAAACTTCCTTCGCGACCAGTCGGGAATGCGTGCACAGCTCCTTGCTCTCGACCATCTTGTTCAGCTCATGGACCCAAAACTCTATCTTCACCTTCAATCCGCCGACAGCACCAACTTTTTCTTCTTCTTCCGGATGCTCCTTGTCTGGTATAAGCGCGAATTTCCTTGGCTTGATATTCTTCATTTATGGGAAGTGTTGTGGACGGATTATCTTTCGAGCAATTTCCATCTCTTCGTTGCTCTGGCGATCCTTGACAAGCACCGGAGCGTTATTATTGATCACCTCAAGCAGTTCGATGAGGTATTGAAATATGGTATGATATTTTCCTCGTCGAATTATGCAAGATCGGTTACTAACTCTCCCTCAGTCAACGAACTCTCCAACACGCTCGATCTGGAAGCTATTCTCATCCGTGCTGAAGCACTCTTCCGCCGCTTCGAGCGCACACTTGAGTCCATAGACAAGAAATCAAACTTTCCAACTCCTCGATTACGCCAAAGACCAACCCTTAATCCACGATCAAGCTCGTCTCCATCCAATCCACCAACCGGAAGAACGAGCGGGACCGACACCAGCACGGCGGCGGCAGAGGCTAATGCCCCGAATCCCAAGGGCAAGGATAAAACTGCGGGCCCGGAATCAAGCGCTATTCAGCAGCGAAAAATCGTTAGTCCTGAACTGAGGTTCCTGTTGTCCAGGAAGGTAGAGGTACTGCCGAGAAAGATCGTGAGAAAGAAGGGAGAAGGACTGAAGGGGAAGGACACGGTCGAGGGTTCAACATAGATGACACGAGTAAGGGCATGGCGTGGATGGAAAGGTGTTACTTGAATTTACGCGTTTTAATGAGCACTGGGTTGTACTTAGCTTTATAGGAGGCAGTTAAATCTATACAGGCAATAATAGGCTGTTATCATGTTCAATATAGCCCCACCTCTCTCTGTACTTAAAATAAATGCTTTGAAATCCTTCGTAAGCCCCCCGGTGGATACCCCACTTGTGTACCTCGACCGGTAAATAATTCGACCGCGCTCCGAGTACTGTCGTCATAAAACTATCAATCCAATACCGAAGGATTCGAAGCCCTAAATCAGCAGAATAAGCCATTCTCGTCGTGGAATTGAGGCTCAACTCATTACTGAGCAATACTTAACAAACCCACACACCCTTCGGACCCAGATCGACCATGGATCTCGTCTCGTCCATCCGCAAAGAAGGCTCCCGCGGCGGCGTCGACTTCAAATGGTCCGACGTCGAGTCCTCGACTCGGCGCGAAAACTACCTGGGCCACTCGCTCATGGCTCCTGTAGGTCGGTGGCAGAAGAACCGCGACTTAAACTGGTACGCCAAGGCCGACGACGCTATGGCGGAAGACGGAGAGACGGAGGAGGAGAAGAAGCAGAGGCTGAGGAAGGAGGAGATCAAGGCGATTAAGGAGGCTGAGGAGGATGCCCTTGCTCGCGCCCTGGGATTGCCGGTGAAGGAGAGAGTTAGCGATGCGAATGCCACGCCTGTTGGACAGCGGGAAATAAGCAAGGCGGTGCAGGATGTTGAGCCTGGAGACCAGGAGACGGAGGGGCAGGGGAGGTTTGGAGGATTTGTTGGTGCCGTTGGTGATAATGACCAGAAACTCGTGTTGGATGAAGGATTGGAAGGGGAGGCACCTAGCGGCTTGGCCGTGGCGGACGAACGCAAATCCAGGCGTGGTGATGATAGGGGTCACAGAAGGCCCAGGCCCAGGCATCGCCATCACCACAGTCAGAGAGATAGGCCCCGTTCAAGTTCAAGAGGCTATCGTCACGAGCGGAGTGACAGGTATCGGCATCGGGATAAAACAGAAAGGAGCAGGAGTCCGGATAGACGGGGCGATGGAGATAGAGAATCACAGAGAGTCCGGAAATCGAGTCAGGAAAGGAGGAGCAGCAGGGATAGGGGCCACAGCAGAGAACGGAGACGACGAGAGAGGAGTCCAGATAATAGGCAGAGGGATCGCAGTCGGAACAGGAGTCACAGCAGAGAAAGGAGGAGGAGAGAGCGAAGCCCGGACACCAGGCCGAGAGAAAGGAGGGGCAGGGATGGGGAGTGAGGGGGCAGCTAAATTGAATGGATTTGGAATTAGACTGTGGTTGAGGATGGTCAGAGAAATCACGCGGTGATGCAGCACATAGGAGAGTTGTTCTGTCAATATAATGAAACACAATGTTAATGCCGATGCAGTAGAGTGACGTGACTCTTAATTATCCTTTCTGGTTCACCTAAACACTATGGACAATCCAAGTAATGAACCTCCCGACTCGAAAAACACAACAGTCGCAAATCCAGATCACAATCCCCTCATGTCGAAAACCAAGCATAAAATAACAGCAGTCGAAAATTCAGATAACAACCCGCCAACTCGAGAACCAAGCACGAAATAACAGCCGTAGAAAATCCAGAAAACAAACCGCCAACTCGAAAACCAAGCACAAGAAAAACACAGCTCTCTAAAATCAAAAACAAACTCGCCAACTCGAATACTAAGCACAAAAAAAACAGCTCGAAAATCCAGATGACACACTCCCCAGCTCGAATACAAAACGAACTCCCGCCTAACCTTCTTCCCCCCGCCTGACCTCCGTAACTCCAACCAAAGCAGAACGGTAAACGTTATCCGAGAGATTACTCCCAAGGATTTTCCGGAATGGTCTGGCTCAACAATTCCTCGCCGGTAATATACCTAAATAGTCGGTATTTTTCGCGTAGCTCAACGGGCATTTCCTCCTCCGTCGGAAAGTCGTCCGTGAAGCCAAGTCTCTCAAAAATATCAATTCTGACTTCGCCGTGTCCTAACTCAGGATCTTCTATCGCGCGGATGCCAGGCTCAGGGCTAACATGAGGGGTGCTAGGGGCTGGTTTATAAGGTAGGTAGGGGAGAATTTCATCTTCTACCACGCGGAGGTCAGCCTCGGGGCTGTGAGCTGCACCGAATACATCCATCTGATCTTGGGGGTGGCCGTCATTAAATTCGGGTCTCTCGACTCTCATATCGTCTTTAGCTGCGGCATCCTGTTGTTCAGCATCCTGTTGTTCAGCATCCTGTTGTTCGACATTCTGCCTTAGCAACCCTTGTGGCCCGTTGACTCTGCTGAATGTCCCGTCGCCATTATCGTGGAGAGTATCCTGCAAATGGCCGTTCTTCTATTTATTATTAGTACTTCCTTACGAATATTCAAGTGCAACTTACCCTCTTCATGTGATTATAGAGGCCGGCCTTCCTGGTAAACACCTGGACACAGCCGTCCACGGGACACTGGAAGTGCCCGTTCTGGGGATTACTGTCCTCTGCTTTATACTTTACTGGGAGCAAGTTCACCCTTTCATTCTTAAGAGAGCGGTACTCTTTCCGAGTCCTTACTTCCCCCGTCGGATTCGGGTGGTGGATGGATATGGTCCTTCCATCCGCAGCAATCTTAGTTTTCCCTGTGGCTACTGTCTTTGGTTGTGGCCTGTCCGACATTCTCGAGGGTGAGATTATGTAGGTTATATATAATGTATAACTATAGACCTTTGATAGAAAGTAATAAGAGGTAGGATGTGTTTGTTGTTGTTGTAAGTAATTTGGTAGTGGTTGTGGTATTGACCGAAAGGAGGTGAAGTTGAAATGTTACTAAAAGCTTCACAGGTAGGCAAGCAGCGCACTAGCAGTTCACTTCTGGGAGTAAATACTATCCCCTCAATCTAGCTGCATCTCTGCTATGTGTCTGCTATTCAAAGTTGTTTCCACGGAGACGCTGCGTCCATCTTCTACATATCTTCCTGAATCCCCCTAGCAAATCACCGAGCAACAACAGACTTGGGAGAGAGAAAGTATACTATTATAACTACGTTCTAAGAGTACAGACTATTACGATCAAGCTGTATGAAGAAATTATGTTCGCGTTTGTTGGTTGTGGGTGGACGGACTTTGCAACGGCCTGGCTTTATTCAGGCCCCTTTTGACGAAAAGGAGACTTCCACTGTTGATAGCATCACAATCGCTCCACGCCCCACGACCCACAGCAATACTCCAAATCTTTTGAACTTCATAGCGATAATCTCCTTGTTGGTATTACCCCAGCAACGAAATTGCGACGCTGCTTTCTGATAGTCTCTACAATATCAACAATCTTATCACATACCGCACCATGCCCACCATTATGAGAACTTCGGACAAATTCACACAGCTCGAACACAACCATTTATGGAAACTGATTTGATCTGTCTCAGTTGGGCGCTAGGGTACAAATCACCGGAGCGGTCAAGCAACTGATATATCAATGGATGGCTTCAATAGAGTATATTGTCTGGAGAGCAACGTCCTGAGCCAACGCCAGGATGTTGCACTCGGTGAGTAAACTAAGCCTATATAGTTCTATATGTGAGACATCTACATGAGAATATCGAACACGTGACATGAACAGCTTCAGTCCCAACTGAGAATCTGATATAACTATTTGGTCTTCTCACTAGTTGTCAGGCGTTCAATTAACAAGGTCCTCTTGAACTACTCTACTGCTGTCCAAGCCTTGGCAAGCGCCTCTCTCAGCGATCCTTGAGAATCCCTCATCGGAGTCATCGGAGCCGCCTTGAGTTGGCCTCGAAGGATCTCTGGCAAGGCAAATCAGTATGCCTTGCCATTGACATCAAACAGAGGCATCCTTCATCCTTCTCGGTGGACGACATTACCAAAGAAATACAACACTGTCCCGGTACAGGGGCAGAAAACAGTGGCAGCCACCCCAAGGCAACACTTCCAAATCAAGAATGAAACAATCTGCAGTCGAGCGAATGCACATAGGACTCGAATCTTGGTGCTTGTTTCGTGGTTGCTAGAAAATCAAAATGTTTCTACCTTAATGATAACTGCAGGAAATACGGGACATTTGACACAGCTGAAGCCTTAACGGCCCGAGTTGAAACACCTATGACTACCGCGACACGGTCAAATCTTCGTATTTGAAACCGCACCAGCCACCGGTCATCAGGTTAGTCATCCTTCTGGCATAAATCGCTGCAGTGATACTGTAAAAGCACTGCCATCACCTTGCTGACAGCATTTGAGGCTGGGGACCAAAAATAGAAATGGGCCCCTTGCAAGCTAGCCGAAATTATTAAGCGCAATGCTCTTGTGTATAGCGCTTGTTCCTTCTCTAGGGGTCTGCCGCCGATGACCTGCCATTGCGGGCGTCCCGTCGGCTCGAGAGAAGGGCCGCACCAATCACCTCAGCCATCTTATGGACCCCATCCAACGCGTATGTCGACCAATCCCATCCGGAATCTCGACTTCCCTGTCATCGCTAAAATAGAGCGCAGCACGCAGCAACATGCTAAATCGTGTTACTTTGCGTTCTGGTGGCTTACGGAATCATGGAAAAAGACTCGTGTTATTCCCCTTTCACCCATACACTGCCACATTAGAGCTGCTACAGCGCAGATCCACAACTCCGAATTTGGGTCTAAGTTATCGTACCTGCAGCCCCCGGCCGCCTAAGTTGGTACTCGTACATATCACAGAGTGAGATTACGAGTACGACCATGTGGCCCATACGACCACAATACCGGTGCCGAAATAGACTCCCTGAGATCCCACCCCGCCAGCCACGTTTCTAATGCCTGCTTGTGCTGCGCTGACTAGATCCCGCGCAATACCGAGTCCTGGAAAGGACGCCGCTTCGCTCTGTAATTGGAGGGCGAGTGCCTGCAGGGTTGCCATGTCTACGTCGGCGTGGGCATAGGGCTGAGTGTGTGACGAAATGCCGCGAGTTCCTCACCAGATTTGGGGTTCCGCAGGGGAACTGTTGCCTGGGCCTCATCCACATGAGTAGTATATATGGCTCGTAGACTTCCTCCATGATTCCTCTCTTTTTCTCCATCAGCATCAGCATCTTCATTACACTTCTCACATTCACACCATCATCAACCCTTCTTACCTCAAACACACTCATCACTTACATATCTCCAACTTCTTCCAACCATATCAGACTTATACACACCCCTGAAATCACTCAACTATCCCATCACAATGTCTTTCACCTCATCAACCATCTCTTCGGCCACCTTTGGCTGTGCCCTCCTGGACAGATCATCCGCTTCATCTACCACCGAGCAGATGACGAACCAAGGCCGCGGCGGCTACAACCGCGGACCCGACGATGATGAGCCCGAGGACGGACGCGGAGGCTACAACTAAGAATCTCTTACTTTGTTGTCACGCGGCTTTCAATCATCGAGCTTGGGTCAAACTTGGCGTTACAAAAATAAGATCTCATATCTCTCCTCGCGGCATTCTCGCTGGCGTCCTGAACACTACTTCATTCGAAATTATGTTTTCATCCTTACGCTATATTATTACTACGCGCATTGTCGGAGTTATGGATAGAGCTGAAGCATCGAGTCACTCAGCAATCATCATCGTCATTGTTCGCATTTTCATCGCATTTTCAGCATGGCGTACTAGCGCCGTAATTCTCGCATCGCATCGCAATTATTAGACTGCTTCTTTTCTTCCGTTTTTGAGAGGTTGGAGCATTGGCTGGCATTATCCTGGGGCATCAGCATCAGCATCAGCATTGGTATTGGTATTGGTATTGGCATTGGCATTGGCATTGGCATTGGCATTGGCATTGGCATTGGCATCAGCATCGGCATCGGCATCGGCATCGGCATCGGTATCGGCATCGGCATCGGCATCGGCATCGGCATACACATCAATAGACGCATATGGACGGACATTTGGGACGGAGTTACGCATTTGATTTCACTGGCATTGGATATTTTCATGGCATCGCGGATAGTTTTTGTTTTAGAATATGTATTTGCATAGATTGCATCAATAGATAATCTCACTTCTCACACACAAGTCCATTGTCTATTTCCCCACACAAAATCTGTTGATTGTTAGCATTGTATCATTTGACCGGACGACAGCAAGATTTACTTCTCAAATACTACTCCCAATACCTCCTCCACGTCCCCACCCTCACCTCGGCCTGTAAGTTTACTAAGATTATTCGCCGCGGTTCTCAGATGCTCGGCAGCCACCACAATATCGAAATCCAGCGACATATCAGCTTCTTGAGTCTCGCTCTCATACAGGGACAGGTATTCATCGCATCTTGAGAGAAGTTGACGCTGGCGCTCTGTAACTCCGTACAGGTCTTCATCGCCAAGGGTGGTAAGGGATTGGAAGGAGGATGTGAGGTTAGAAATTAGGAATGAGATGTTACCCGCATCTTTAGCTGAGGGTGTCGATATAAGATCCGATTTGCATGAAATGGGAATGATCTTGTTCTCTGGGACTGAAGGCAGTGAGGACTTGAACCTGTGGAGGATCCGAGCGAAGGTAGTGTCGGGGATAATGTCGGTTTTGTTGACGACTACCACGTATTGCTCCGCTTTGGTGGCAATGTCGAGAGCCTCCGTATCGTAGCGTATTTCCCACTCTTCCTGCCCATTTGAAGCCTCCACCGAAGCCATCACAATAATTAGATCAGACTCCGCAGCCTTCGCTTTAGCTCTTCTGATCCCCTCTTCTTCGACTTCTCCAATGCGGTCTCTTATCGTGGCGGGTTCACCGTCAATTCCAGACGAGGGTGACCGCAGCCCCGCCGTATCAGCGAAAGTGCACAGATACCCTTCGATATCAAGGCCAACTTCGACAATATCTCTCGTCGTCCCCGCCTCGGTACTGACAATCGAAGCCTCTCTGCCGACAATTCGATTCAGTAGCGAGCTCTTCCCAGCATTGGGAGGTCCAAGCATCGATATTCTGATACCCTTCCGCAGCATTCCACCACGCCGACTCCCTTCGTCATGCGCCTTGATAGAAGCCCGTATATTTTCAACAGCAGCTCCCACATTCTTCAACAAATCCGGATCTGAGTCCGCAAAGTCATGATCCTCGGAGAAGTCGATCAGCGCCTCTAACTCTCCCCGCGCCTCAAGAAGCTGCTGTCGCCAGCCTTCATAAGTCCTCCCCAGAGTGCCAGAGTTTCCCCTCACAGCCGCTCTACGCTGCTGCTCTGTCTCCGCGGATAAGGTGTCACTCAGCGCCTCCACCTGTGCCAGATCAAGTCTGTTGTTCTGGAATGCTCGTCTTGTGAACTCTCCAGGCTCTGCATAGCGGATCGTAGAAGTAGATTTGCAGTGTGAGATTGCTGATAAAACGGCTTTCACTGTTGCAGAGCCGCCATGGATGTGCAGCTCCAGCATTTCTTCGCCAGTGACGGTTTTCGGCGAGGGGAAGTGGAGGACGAGGGCGTCTGAGTCGAGAACGCTCGGCTTGGAGCTGTTGGTGGTGTTTGGTTCGTAAAGAGTCCGTAGAGTGGCGTATCGGGGTTTAGGGGTTGCTCTCGAGGGGCATAATGCACGATATACCTACGGCAGTTAGAATGGCAACTCAGAGTGCGCTCCTTTGAGCAGAGTCGCTCACATCTGAAGATCCAGTCCCAGAAACTCGAATAATGGCAATCCCCGCCCTGCCCGGAGCCGTTGAAACTGCATAAATGGTATCATTAAAGAACGAAACAATGCCACGACCAACGCTTTCCCGATTTTGTTGTCCCTGTATTGTACTGTGAAAGCATCGGCGCCTGGGAGGGATATTATGTGATGGATTCAAGAAATCCAGCCCAACCCTTGAGCTGGCCCGCGATGCATTACGCAGGTAACTGAGTAGAGTCGCTTGCGCACCGCGCCGTGCTATAAGAGTAACATTTCGCTTCATTGGCGCAACATATCATACAAATGCGATGTAAATATCGATGTTTGAAGTTGGATTGGCAAGGCTGAGACTTTGCGATGCGCCAGGGATTGATTTGGCTGGTAGTTGGTACGTACTCGTACCTACATCTAGATAAGGCTGGCGGCCTGGCGGGGATTTGTTGTTGCCTGGAATTGTGTATTGATCCGAAAAAAGTTCCCCAGACAGAAATATTTCTTATCAGCGAGGAAATCTACAACCTTTTTCACGGCCTCAAATCATCACAACGAAATAGTAGGAGGCTACTGTGCAAACTTCTAAAATCGGTTTTCAGAACCTTCGAATAGGTTCACCGTTTCAAAAATGTCTTCAGACGAAATCGTCTGGCAGGTTATCAACCAGCAGTTTTGCTCGTTCAAACTCAAGTATAGCGAACCTCCAGTCTCGTGATAAATCAAAACTAATGTTTTCCAGAACTACGAAAGAGAAGAACTTCTGTCGCAACGAATACAATGTCACTGGTCTCTGCAACAGACAATCATGCCCTCTGGCCAACTCGCGATATGCCACTGTCCGCTCGAATCCCGATACGGGCACCCTCTACCTCTACATGAAGACAATCGAACGTGCTCACATGCCGTCAAAGCTGTGGGAGAGGATAAAGCTGTCGCAAAACTACGTCAAAGCGCTCGAGCAGGTCGATGAGAGATTAATATACTGGCCAAAATTCCTGGCACACAAGTGCAAGCAAAGACTCACGAGGTTGACACAAGTCGGCATTCGCATGAGGAGACTGGCAAAGGAGGACGAGAGGTTAGGCGAGAGGGTTGTTCCAAAGCTTGCTCCTAAGGTCAGGAGAAGAGAAGAGACGAGAGAGAGGAAGGCGCTTGCTGCTGCGAAGGTTGAGAGGGCCATTGAGAGGGAGCTGATTGAGCGATTGAGGAGCGGCGCATACGGTGACCAGCCATTGAACGTCAGCGAGTCTATCTGGAAGAAGGTACTCAAGGGCCTTGAGCGACAGGGTGAGGGTACCAGAGACGAGGATATGGACGAGGGAATCGAAGAGGAGGAGGACGAAGAAATGGAGGAGGAGGAGGAAGGTGTTGGCATGGTCGAGTATGTCAGCGACTTGGGCGAAGATGAAGAAGATCTGGGAGATCTCGAGGACTGGCTAGGAAGCGATGCTGAGGAGGGCACTGACGAAGATGAGGATGATGATGAGGACAGTGAGAGCAACAGCGATGAGGAGGATATCGCAAAGAAGCTTGGTCCCAAGAGGAAGCGCCCAGCGGCGCCAAAGGGCAGGCCAAGGAAGACCGCCAAGATGGAAGTCGAGTATGAGGTTGAGGGTGAGGCACGCGCAACTACTACATGAGAACTGTCGCCAAGGAGTGTCATGGGATTGTAAATAGTTTGATAGGAGCATACGTTGATACCAGAAAACAATTCCATGCAATCGCGAGAGTGCAAAGATAATTCAAGACAATCATTGAGTAATAAACTCCTTCAGCTTTTGTTGTTCTCCATGAATCTTTAGTATATGCATCCCGCGCCAGGCCTTAAATCTGGGTGGAGCACTTGGATGCGAAACCTTAATCGACCAGTAACAGCCGCTACGTAACCCCACCTTCCAACTTTGTACGAGTCTACCCACCTCGGTGAAGCACTTGAGACAACAATCCCGTCCTCATTCACAACCGCCTCCTTCAACACGGCGATCAGAAGGTCAGAGCACCTTCGTTGCCTTCAAAGCTTTACTTCTTAACAGAAGTCACCTCTCAACTACTGAACGCAACAACGACCACTTGCATGGGCACAGCAACTTTGGCAACACGCAATCATGTCATCCTACCTTTCCAACCTCCTCACCACGACATCCACCCGCTATGCTTCTCTTCGCAACCTCCTCCCGGCTGGAGAAGCTGACGGCGATACCCCAGACGATACACACATCTGCAGGGTCCTACGCGCCTACTACATCGAGAAGGGCGGAGCCTTTCCACCTTGGCTGCCACCCGACCCAAAAGCCGCTCCACCCCCGCAGGTTCAACAACAAAACTACGGCGCACCTGTCGGAGCTGGATATGGCAATCTTGCGAATGCGGGTAGCAGCGGCAACAAGCTAACGAGCTTATGGGACAACAAGGCTTCCTCGGGTTCCCCCGCACCGCTTCCAGTTAATCAAAGCTTGAGGCAAGGGAGACCAGGTGGATCTCCAGCGCTACGAGCCGGTGGTGGAATGCAAAGAGGGCAGCAACAACAGGAATACGTGGCTGCGCGGCCGTTGCCGAGTCAGAGGGATGGGTCATACCAGAATTCGCCCGCCTTACAGCCCACGACCAGCGCAGGTTCGGCACAGGATCGACTGAAGCAGAGATTATGGGGCGGCGCAAAGAGCAACAGCTCGTCACAAAGTTCACTGGATCAAGTACAAGGACAACCGCAAGGGAGGAGCCCTGGGATGAGCCCGGGAGGGAGCCCACAGCCACCACAACCACAGAGGGGTGGCTACGAAAGGCAGGAGAGTTATAACAGTGGCAGATCAAATGAGAGTCCAGGCATGTCCGCGAACTCGCCTTGGTCACAAGATGGTAACGGAGCTGGACAGTATGGAAGACAGGGACAGTATCCAAGGCGGCAAGGCTTGTCCAGCAATCCGAGGGGGTACAGATGAGTAGATGTCACATGCGGGGTGAGATAACGTTTTTTATGAATACTTTGAGCAAGGCGTTAGTGGCACCTGGGAGCAACATGTTTAAATCTAGCCGTGGGGCAGAATAGACAGCCATGCGGCGGAATAAACAGCCATTTTAGATGCTCATGCAAACTAAACTGCTCGTCTCTTCTCCAAGAGGTTCTAGTTAAATTCTACCTCAATATAACTACATGACTTAAATTTCCCAACACTATTTATGAAAGCATACTGGGTAGAAGGGCAGTTTTGTGGATATAATAAGAGCTTCGGCGTCTCAACTTAAAGACACCAATGTACTGAATCAGCCATCAATTATTAACATCAAGCGGAATATACTGTTTTCAATGCGTCGCGGACGTAGAAGCGAAATTGCTAAACATTTAAATAACTCGTTATAATCGTAATTCAAAAATTTATCTCATGGTATTGCCAAAGTTGTTATTCAACAGCAAACGTCGGTTTATTGGTCGTCTTGCCCCACCACTCTCTGATCAGGTATCAAACGAGACCTTCCTGTTTTCCCTAAATTAGAGGTTCCAAATTTGTATTTTACTACCTTCACATCTGAGATATGTAATAGTTATTATTTATTTATTTTTATTGCTAAAAGTCTTAAATTTGTTGGGTGTCATATTATGTATTGAGGCTAAATAATAAAATCCGGTAATTGTCAAAAATCGGAATATATTTCGAAAATCTCATCTTTCCACCAACAGGTCACCCAAGAACCATACTACCACGAAAATGGCCCCATCAGCAATTGCGCAGAGGAGAACACATAATTTATTACTATTTCAAAAGCTACTGAACCTTCGTGATGGGGCGAGTCCATTTACGTTGCTGTTGGACACGTTAGAACAGTCATCACAGCCGGTCGTTCGCGAGTTCATAACAAGGGCAAAGGTGAGTCAAATAGCAGAACCTGCTTTAATCCTCCTGTAAAGTTTGGACGTGTAACTGTCCAAACTTTACAGGAGGATTTTTTTTTGCGATGTACTGCCAGTACGAGTACTGTGCCGTTGCAGGCGTCTGGGGAGCTCGTTGTTTGCCTGGTTTCTTGTGGCATGTTTACTGATCATCATACAGATTGCCAAATCCAAAGTCATATATGTATCATTTCAGACTTTGAAGTCGCCTTCACAGGTCGACGTAGTCATCAGAGCACATGGCAAGCCATTGGCAGCTCTCAAACAGGAGATTCTGACGCACCTGCCTCCGCCGCCCAGTGCTGCTGCACCAACACCGAGTGCCAGTGAGTCCTGAGCTGCCCAGCCACCAAGCGGAAAACTAACGGTATTACAGAAGCTATTGTCATTATTGATACGCTCTATTCTTTGGCCGCTTCGGCCTCATCCTCTCTACCGGGCTTCTTGTCGTCATTCTTGTTCCCGGGCATCTCTATCGTCGCCACATACCACCTTGACATCCCTCTTACCACCCAGAAATCACCAAATCCATATGCCCCAAGTCCACTAACTACTCTTTCCTACTTGGCAACGTCTATCCTCCGCGTCTCCTCGCTCGATCACGCCGTGCAAGAAAAGCGCGCACGTGATCGCAGTTTACCAGAACCAACCTTTGGTTTGCATGAGGGAAGGGATGGCGTTATTATCGGGCGGAAAAGCCTCGGCGAGCAAGTACAGGGTGTGGTCGTTGAGATGGAGATTCGACGCAAGAGTGGACGGGGAGTGAGGGAAGTTCTAGTTTTGGCTCTATCATCGGCATCACTGCCATCTTCGCTGGAGGCAGGTGGAAAGATGAGAGTTGGTCCTGGTGCTGCGGGAAGCAAGATCTGTTTGTTGGATGATCATCCTCTTTATGCAGCACCGGAAGTTGGTGATGGCCAGGGAGCCATGGACGATGAAGACGAGGAGCCGGAATCGACTTTTAGCCTTGGCCTGACAGAAAAGCAGAAGAAGGACAGGGAGGGGGTTGTGCTACCGTATTTTGATGCACAAAGTGGTGGAGGGGATGGGGGGAGAATTTTGTATGAGATGGGGAGGGAGGATGACTGGGATCCTGAGGAGGACGAGATTTAGAATTAAGAGGCAAATCACCAGTATTAGAGGAAACAAATCCCGCAAAATAAAAAAGCTACTTTTACTTCTAATTTTTTTGATATCGTCAGTTATATTTCATGGTGATTCCAAAGTGCAATAAAGTGAATCAAGATCACGTGCAACCGTAAATATTTGTGCCAAGCGACTGGGCGACAGCCTCGCAGCCTCACTCCTAACCTCCCCAAACAACATACCACCTCCATTGACTCTCTGAACCGAACTGAATATGGCAGAGCCACCATATAAACGCCCAAGGCGAGACTTTGACTCCGATCGCGCACCCGTTGACTCTCGAAATCCTCGCGACAAGCGCGGTGGAAGACAAGGGCCAGACCGTGGCAACGACCGAAATAGATCGTACAGATCAAGAACTCCCGAGCGCCCACGAGACCGTGAACATGGCCGCGACAACCAGCACTACGACCGCGGTGGTGGACGACGAGATGATCGCAGAGATCGGGACGGCGGACGGAGAGACGACCCGCGCAGAGATGACAGAGGCAGGCATGGTCCGCGGGATATGGACAGGGATGGAGACCGGAGGCAATATAGAGATGATCGAGGTGCTCGAGACAATGACCGAAGTCAGCGTGACAGAAGGAGAGACGGAGAAGGCGACTCGAAACGCCGTAGCAGAAGCCCGCGTGGAGAACGTTCCCGCGAAAGAGAACCAGCTGGAGATGCTGTGCACCCAAATATGGCCCGTGTAGTTGAGCAGGAGATTCCACTACGACAGGGAAGCCGACAAGGAAGCCGAAACGCCACGCCCCCAGTAGCATTCAAAGTTGGCCGACCAGACAGCCGAGCGGGTTCAAGAGATCCTGGCGGACAGAGCCCAGCACAACCGGATTCAGCTGCTACCAGCGAGAGCACAAGCCATAAGAATAAGCCCAAAGCAGCCGATTTTATTGCCGCCGACGAGATGGGCGTTGAAGAAGGCGAGGAGGACGATATTGAGGTTGAGGATGATGCAATGGCAGCCATGCAGGCAATGATGGGCTTTGGAGGATTCGGAACTACAAAACAGAAGAAAGTATTGGGGAATGATATTGGTGGGATCAGGAAAGAGAAGAAGACGGAGTACAGGCAGTATATGAACAGAGTTGGAGGGTTCAATAGGCCGCTCAGTCCTAGCAGGGAGACATAGTGGACGATTTGGTGCTTCGAATGCATAGCGTGCAGCGTATTTTTTCAAGATAACCAAAGACTTTACAATGAAATTATTTGACACCCCAAGTTTCATAAATTACAAAATTGAATGTTAAATTTCGAGCATGTCTTGAAGATTGGTGCTCACGTTAATTGTTGGAAGCTCCCCTGGTGACGTGTAAAGGACTTCTTGGCGAGTAGGGCAGTGGGAAGTCACGGGAAGGAATATACGTAGAATCCTGGTCTATTGATACGAAGACTGAACGCTGACCCTCCTCCGAAGGTCCGCGTTCCTACTACGTATATAGTTCTACGTGTCTTGTCCGGACCGACATGCCTCCGTCTTGGCACTGAAGGGCACGTGAGTATTGCCCGCACGTGATTCGGTTCGTGACATGACGTTTTGGCGAGGCTGAAGGCAAGGCTGAGTGGGGTTCGTCAAACGTGTCAACACGACCGAGACCGTCCAAAGACAACTTTCGGGGAACGTCAATTCTTTATAATTGTGTTTCAAGATGGTGTGCATAACATTAGCGGCTGCAGCTATACTCAGCCTTTCCTTAACACCGCACGTGACCGCCCAAGATGACCCGTCAATCCTTCTTGGGGAGATAGGACGAGCCTCAAACGAGAGCTTGCTATGGGGCCCATACAAACCCAATCTATATTTTGGAGTGAGGCCGAAGATACCAAAGAGTCTCTCGGCGGGGCTTATGTGGGCGAAGGTGGATAACTTTCAAGATGTACAGCACAGTATGTTCTGGAGCAGAGTCAGCATGCTTCAATGCTTCTGGCTTAGAATATGGACCCTGGATGATTGCTGACTGTGATATGTGTAGATTTCAGACATACATGCGAACAAAATGAAGGGATGGTGGGATATGGCTGGGACGAGTATGACGTTCGCAATGGCGGCCAGCAGACTGTCCATGACGCGGGAAACAATATTGATATCACAACCTCATTCGTCAAGATCCCAGGTGGAAAGCATGGCGGCAGTTGGGGAGTGCGGGTAAAGGGGACGCCTCGAGAAGATGCACCAGATATGTTGATGACGGCCATGGTGTTTTATGCTACATTAGAAGGGCTTGGAAGCTTGGAAGTCGAGAACAAGCCCGACAAATTGGGATACGAAGGCGATGTGACGCTGAAGGGAAGCTCTGCTGGACTTGGAGAATACAAGTTACTCGTTACGAAAGGAGAGGGCCGCCATCCAACGGAAACTCACGATTCATACAAGGACAAGCCGCTGGACCGAACAATGGTGCGTTCGATGACCGCTGCAGAGGAAAACCTATGGCAGATCAAGCCACTCTTTTACCAAGAGTTGAAGGGCCAGATCGAAGGATATGTGGAGAAATACACAGTTGAGGCCATGCCGCCCCCATGGCAGGTATACACACTACCCAACGATGCGGGAAGTGGAAATATACAGATGGTCCAGAAAGTATTCGAGGGACCATTCGAGTTCGATATCATGTTTTCCAGTGGCTCAGCTACGAAGGAGGTTACCAGCGAAGATCTTACGGAGGGAATAGAATCGGCGAGCAACTCTTTCGTAGAGAAATTCGGCGATGTATTTGACTTGAAGGCACCATACAACGGACCTAAATACGTCCAGTTTGCCAAGAGCATGTTCTCCAACCTCTTTGGAGGCATTGGATACTTCCAGGGCGACGAAGTAGTCGACCGCTCTTACGCCCCAGAATACGACGAGGAGAATGAGGGTTTCTGGGAAGAGGCCGCCGAGGCACGGGCGAAGAGAAGAGAGCAGCTCGAGGGCCCGTTTGAGCTTTACACAAGCGTCCCCTCGCGACCATTCTTCCCGCGTGGATTTCTTTGGGACGAAGGTTTCCACCTTCTGCCTATAGCCGACTGGGATATGGATGTCGCCCTCGAAATTGTTAAGAGCTGGTTCAATCTGATGGACAGCGAAGGCTGGATTGGCCGCGAGCAAATCCTCGGCAACGAGGCTCGCAGCAAGGTCCCTCCGGAGTTCCAAGTCCAGTACCCGCACTATGCCAACCCCCCAACACTCTTTTTCATTCTCGACGCCTTCGTTGAGCGTCTCTCGAAGCCAAATGAGTCCGCAATCACAGTGGAAGAATCTCCCAAGCTGGGCCAAGCGGGCCTCAACAGCGCCCACACCGACAACCCTGAAGTCGCGAACCAGTATCTCCAGGCAATTTATCCGCTCTTGAAGAAACAGTACCATTGGTTCCGCCGCACCCAATCTGGCGATCTCGCGACGTACGACAGAGAGGCGTTCCCCTCAAAGGAAGCGTACCGCTGGCGCGGCCGCACCGTGCAACACGTCCTCACCTCTGGTCTTGATGACTATCCTCGTCCACAGCCACCCCACCCTGGAGAGCTCCACGTCGACCTCATCTCGTGGATGGGTGTGATGGCCAAGTCTCTTAAGAACATCGCTACCTACCTTGGCGAAACCCAAGATGTGGCCGAATTCACGCGTAACGCGAACGGCATCTTGCGCAACATCGATGATCTGCACTGGAGCGAGAAGGAGAAGACGTTCTGCGATGCGACTATTGATGAGTTCGAGGAGGACGTCCTGGTGTGCCATAAGGGATACATTTCTATCTTCCCGTTCTTGACTGGACTGATAGAGCCCGATAGCCCACGTCTAGGCGCTATTCTTGATCTCATCGAGGACCCAGAGGAGCTGTGGACTGATTTTGGAATCCGCAGTTTGAGCAAGTCAAACAAGTTCTACGGCACAGATGAGAATTATTGGAGAGGTCCGATTTGGATGAATATGAACTACCTCGCTGTGCGAGAACTACTCGTAAGTTCCATTTGCCTCCCCCCCCCTTCTCCCCCGTTTTATCTCCTGCCTCCACCTTTGTCACCCTGTGCCACTCTAACTCTTGCACAGAAAATAGCGCAGTCATCCACTTCCCCTCATGCCAAGCAAGCCGGCAGCATCTACAGCCGTCTCCGCCACAATCTCGTCTCGAACGTGTATAAGTCTTGGAAAGAGACCGGATTCGCATGGGAGCAGTACAACCCCGAAGATGGACACGGGCAGCGAACCCAGCACTTCACCGGATGGACCAGTCTTGTGGTAAAGATTATGGCGATGCCGGAGCTGGAAGCCGGGAAAGCCAGTGGCGAGGAGGGCCACGACGAATTGTGAGAAGCGAGAAGTTATGCAATCGAGTGGGCCTAGGTCCTCCGGTTTGTATGGTAGCTACTGTGAAAATTTCGGTGTAGCCTCTGAAAATAGCTTCAAGAATTCATAGACTCACGCATTCGTGACGACCAGTAACTAGAGCACAATATAACTCGTAAGACCAGGAGTTTGCATATGATAGTTGTACTCGCGTATCCTCCCGTATGGACTCTGATATTTCTCAGTCATCATCTCCTTGAAGTGAAAAGTGAAGAGCCTGGCGAATATCCCAAAGAGTGCCGAGGTCTTGGTTGTTGCGCAAGACGCGAATGGTCTTCCAGGAGTTGCCATTTGGTAGCTTTCCCTCCACACGGCCATCGGCCTCTACGGCAGCTTTGCACATGCGCTCAGGCCCATTGATTTCGGTGATTATATCCTCGTCGCCTTTTGAAAACTTTGAGGCGCCTGGTGGTAAAGAGCATTGTAGGACCCTTTTGTGTCCCGAACCTTGGACTTCGATAAACTTGATTTCTTTCTCGATAAAAACTTTGCCAATGGTTCTCTGGAATAAGAATATGTCACCAGGTCTGATAAGCTCACGGGTGACCAGGTCATCGAACTTTATGGAGCTAGAAAGCCCTGTAAGAACGTTGCTTTGGAGCTTCTGCTTTACTCCCCAGAACATTTCGTACTCGTTATCTTTCCTATCATCAAACTCTCCATCTGCACGCTGTTCAGATGCTGCCGCGGCTTCCTCAAGCCATCTGGGCTCGTTGCGGCCTTCGGCAATGTCTTCTTGAGCACGACCCAGGTAATGGGCCCAGTTTTGATCAAACTTCAAGAAATTTTCACTAATGCGGAGTTCGCCCTCAATTTCATCAATAACATGCGAGTTTTCTGGTAGCATGCTAATAAGCTTAGCTTTGGTTTCCTTGTCAAGGATATTCCAAGCTTCCGGGTTTGAAAAGAGCCCCTATTGCCCTTGATCAGCACATATCTCCAGCGGTGACATGAGCCATACGGACCTTTAAGTTTGCATTGGCCAACGGAGACTTGGGGTTCTGGAGAACATTTTCCACACTCCAAATGCCCGTTCTGGCCTTCTTGGCCTTCTTAGCAGTCTGCGAGCTTGCCTGGTTCCTCTGTGGACGCTTTGCAGGGCTGACAGCAGAAATCGCGGCGGATAGCGGCCCAGTATCTGATGCCTCCTCAGTGGCGCTGGTACACTGTGAGCGACGTGAACCAGGCATCTCATGCTTCTGATCAGTTGTCAAATTGTTAGCATCGTGATCAGTGCTGTCTTCAGCAACGAATTCTTCCATGCTGTCCATTAAGTCTGCGAGAGCTTCATCCCCGTGACTGGAATGTGGCATCTCCGAGCCATCATTGGACGCATACATTTCGCCTGTAGCAGACTTTGCATCGGACTCAATGTTGGATTTGGTTGATTCTCCTTCTATTTTCGACCGCTATTATGGCGTAGCCATAATCTCTAGACGCATGAAAGTAGGAAATGTTAATGGAGCAGCTAGACTCCTAGTAGAATATCTCCACTCTGGGAGTATAAACGGCGCTTCGGCACAAATCGCTAGACGTTTTTGAGGGACAATATGTACGAAATGAAAGTCACAAGAGCAAACACATGGATCGTGACGAACTCACCTTGACATCCCCCAACATCCTGGTCATATTCGGATAATGCACGGGCCTCGGCGCGTTTGTCGCGAAGGAGCTTCTCATAAGCGCGCGTGTAGAATATCAAGTCGTCGCCGGACTCAAAGAGAAACGCTGAGGGCATCAGTCATGAGAGTATCTGGAGACGATATTGTTAGTTTTGCAGTATTGAGAGTCTTTTTGTACTCCAGTGGATCTGGTCGCTGGTGAAGCTTGTTTCTACTCCTACGCTTAGTTGAATGAGCTGTTTCATGAAGTTAAGTGAGGAGTATATATATGTGTCACGTGCCAACAACCACCCAGGTCCAGGCTCGCCAGCCCGCAGGACTTGGCCCATGCGGCTTATCTCCAAACTATCTGTCCTGAAGCCTGGGGAGGCCAATCAGTAAATCAAAGCCACTGCATTTCCTGAGTTGAAATTGCACATCTTGAAAGAGCTCTTTATTATAGTTGTGCTACGTTTGCCTTTATTCAGTCGTCACCCTTTAATATTCTGCAAGATACGAGCAACGACGGAAAAGATGATCAAGTCAACGCAGATCGCGAGGTTAGATGGTACGCACCGCCAATTCTCAATTCTAAGGCCCAATGAAACCTATGCTAACGTGTTTCTTTAGGGCTCATGCTATGCGCATCGATCGATGACGAGGCTGTTCGTACACCACCCCCTTGAACTATGCGAAACGGTACTGACCAGACCTAACAGACTGAGAATGCCCTCACGGAAATCAAATCAAACGTTAAGATGGTTCTGAGGCGGTTAAACCGCAACTCAGAACCACAAGCCAGTATTGAAAGCGGGGCCTACACATTACAGTGAGCAGAAACCTGCCTCGGCACTGCCATTACAGAGGACAACAAAGCTGATACACGATCCCCAGTTACCTCATCGTCAACAGCATAGTTTACATCGCCATATGCGAGCGCTCATACCCCCGCAAGCTCGCTTTCACCTACCTATCCGACCTCTCCTCCGAGTTCAGCTCAACATACACAAACGCGCAACTCACCGCACCCTCTCTGCGACCATATGCCTTCATGGAGTTTGACACCTTCATCCAGCGTACGAAAGCGACGTACTCCGACACGCGCGCGACACAGAACCTGGACAAGCTGAACTCGGAGCTGCAGGACGTGACGAAGGTGATGACGAAGAATATCGAGGATCTGCTGTACCGAGGAGACAGCCTGGAGCGCATGGGGGAGATGAGCTCCAGGCTCAGGGATGATAGTAAGAAGTATAAGAGGGCGGCGGTAAGGATTAATTGGGAGCTGCTTATGAAGCAGTACGGGCCGATAGGTGGATTGATTCTGTTCATCGTTGTATTTTTGTGGTGGAGGTTTTTCTAGAGGAGCTGTGGCAAGGCAGTGCAATCGTGGCGGGGAGAATAGACTACCGATGAATGTCAGAGAAGTGCCAACGCGGGTGGGACAGTGGTAATCTGGACGCGTGGAACGCGGCAAGGGAGAAGGAAATAGGAGGAAATGTAATATGAGAGACAGAAACGCGAGTTTCGCGTTATGCTTGCATATCACGCGTCAGATAGAGCTAAGCAAATATGAAGAAGGTTCTTCCCGTCATATCAGGCCAATAACTTCACGTCGAATGTGTCTAGGTTTTGGGCTTGCAGATTGCCGGTGACTGACCCGGGTCATTGGCCTCTTGAGGCTTGGTGCCATGCCTCATTTTCGTGAGATCGGTATGCGTTTCGGCCAACGAAAACACGAAAAGGATAATCACAACAGTTCATAAAGATCGACTCCTAACTGTAGTCGGTCTGCGGTGCATCCGCTGGTGATTTAAGGGCGCTGCGATGGCGGGGTAAAGGATCGCAGATCTGCATGCTTTAGAAATTCGATTTTACGACACGTCGCGCGAATCTGGAAATTACTGCGTCGCGATGTGAGACCGCAAAACTCTGCATCTGCACTGTGATGGTGAATGTTTCTCATATTACATACCACTGCGAGGTACAGCTCTCCAAACAGCAATGAAATTACATGGTAACCACACTTGTTCCAACAATGGCCAAACATCAACTCTTCTATTAGACATTATTATGGGGTTAGATATCGTACTCGTAGTTTGGTGCAGCCGTTTCCCGCGTCACGTATGACGATGTATCAATAAATGCTTGATACTAGATACCCCTTTTCACGGAAGGCCGGTAATGAAGATGGCCAACGTCGCATTGTTGTATTGTAGTGGAATTATCGTCAGACAGGAGGTTTCACGTTGTTGCCTCTCAACTGCAGCAGGCCGTCGGTTATCAGGGGTCATTGGACAACCCCCTTTTTGAACTGTGGGTGTTTGCTGAGACCTGTTGAGAGGCCAAGAGGGCCAGCTATATTAGAATCTCTGGCTGCCCGATCTGGTGCTTAACGAACGATATAAACTCAACACACCCTCTACCCTCTATCTCTCGAAACCAAAACCAATTTCTTTTTTCGCTGGAAAGCCTTCACAAACATACCTCGCCACCAACGCAAGTGCTCGCCCTCCCCGTTTCCAGCCATCTAGTCTTAACTATTTTATAGAACATGAAATTCCACGTCACAGTCATCTTCCTCCTCGCGCCTCTCGCACTTGCTGCGCTGGATGGTAAAAATAACGGCAACCCACCACATACTACAATCCATGTCAGCGAGGCATTAAATTCAGCTATTGCCAAACTTGGTGGCCTATTGGGGGGGGTTGGAGCCCCTGGAGCTGTCCCCGGAGCTGCCCCTGGCGCCGCTCCCGTTTAAATAGAAGCCCTTTGTGTACTCAGGGTTGAAGCATGGAGACGTCCAAGCATGCCTATCAAAGAGTACATCATTTGTCGTTTGGTTGCAACCAAGGAATAAGGAGCAGTTTGCCTATTGTTGGATTAGTTACCAGTATTTTAAAACCACATACTGTTCATTACGTTGTATTCTCAGCTTGTAAATGCATCTGGCCTTGATGAGAGAGATGAGAAACTTATTCAAACTGATGGGCGTATTTTCACAACGTAAAGCTTCACCAGCTTGATCAGTAGAAAAAAAGTTATATACATAATTCCAAGGAAATTAACTACGACTGCTCACCGACCACGTAGTTTTTGTTAGCTCCTAATGATTGCGACTTGGATCACAAGAGGCCATCTGCCGTAAAGTGATGGTCACATACGTTAGAATCCCTGCATGACGACTAATGCGGCATGGTACCTGCAGGTCAGTAATACGCTTAAACTTGATTCGTGAAGTGTTACTATACTGTCATCCGCGAATCATTCCCAGCTGAGAAACTTGCTCTGGGGTGGGCCAAGCATCGTACGACGTGATAGCGACACGGCTTTCCCATTCGCCTCATCTCAAATGCCTCAAAAGTCTCACATTTCAACTTTTCGTCAGGCATACTGATGCAACTGCTGTGTTCAATCCTTTCGGCACATGTCAATGTAGTTACTGTATGCCTAAGGTGTGTAATACCTCAAGGTATAATTTAAATACAGAGCGACGATAACTACCCTCCTTACTGTCATATGCCACTTTCGACATCCCAGTTTTTATATCAAAAACGCGTAAATACCTCGTCCACAGATGCAAAGTCTCTCCACCCCCAGTTTACTCCTTACCACGCTCTCATCTTTTGTACCTGTTTTCAGGATCTAAATCCCCCCAAGGGCGGCGACCTTACGGGGCTTTGAAATACAATCCCTCGTGTACTGGACCTGGGACTACAAACTGGAGAATAATACATTAAGGCCGCAAATAATTATTTTTAACATGTTATTTTTACTTGGAGTTATGTACAGTATTTCACCTCCAATTACATTCTACACCAGTAAATAAAATGTATCCCGCCCCTTTGGGGATTCAAGGGGTCGCATGCACCCCAGTTGCGCGGAACAATGAAGCCGTCTCACACAAACGTCTCACATGCCTTATCATCAACTGCAGCAATCCATCCTCAGTCACCCGACTCGTAAAAATGTCTGACGCGAGGAAATTGCCTGCGTTACTCAACTTCGGTGCAGGTTCGGGAGACATTTGGCGAAAGGGGATTCCAAATAAACCATATAAGACTACGGATTCTCATCTCATCGACCTCCCTACGACAATCGACAGGATACAATCCACAACCACGAGTCTACCACCGACACCCCTCGACCACCAGCGTAAGCATCCTACTCCCTGTCGCGTCAGATAACATTCTAACACGCGTCTAGAAAATGCATTTCCACCTCGCCACGGTCCTCATCCTCATCCCTCTCCTCACCGCTGCTCCAACCCCAAACATTGAGCAACGCCAGCCCGCCGATGTTACGGATACATTAAAAGGCGCACTTGGTCAGCTCACCGGGGGCCTCGGAAAACTCCCAACCGGCAATGGAAAGCGCGCCGATATCACGAAGACAGTAACCAACACCCTGGGGCAACTCACGGGAGCTCTCGGCGGCGGCCTCACGAAGCTCCCAGGTGGCAAGCGCCAGGTTCCTGATATCGCGGGGAAGTTGACCGAGGCACTGAAACAGATCACAGGCGGTGACATCACTAAACTCCCAACCGGTGGAAAGCGCGAGGCGCCCGCCGACATCACCGAAACATTGACCAGCACACTGGGGGGGCTCACTGGTAGTCTCACAAAACTCCCAGGCGGTGGAAAGCGCGAGGCGCCCGCCGACATCACCGAAACATTGACCAGCACACTGGGGGGGCTCACCGGTGGTCTCGCAAAACTCCCAGGCGGTAAGCGCCAGGCCCCTGATGTCTCGAGAACACTGATGAGTGTCGTGGACCTTGCCCTCGGCCAGGGCAACGAAGTAAACCCCAAAGGTCTACTTAACTCGCGCGAGTCCGTCGATGTCGGGACGGCACTGCTCGAAGCACTGAAGCTCGCCAAGCCCATCACAAACTTTCCAAATGGCAAGCGTGACAGCATTGATATCGCGAAGGCAGTATCGGAAATACTGGACCCGGTCAACGGAGCCTTCAGCAAGGACTACAGCAAGGATTTTAAATTCCCAGATGGCGCAAAGAAGCCAAATGGCAAGCGCAACGACGGCATTGATGTCACGAAGACAGTAGGCCAGATACTTAGCCCTTTCAGCGATGCTCTCGGGAAGGACTACTCAAAGGACTATAAGATCCATGATGACAAAAAGACACCATCCGGCAAGCGCGGCGGCATTGATGGCACAGGGGCAGTAGCCGCCGTACTGGGACAGATCACCGGAGCCATTGAGAACAGCAAGGGCTACAAGCCAGACGGTCTTGAAACCCCATCTCAATCTCACAAGCGCCAAGGTCTTCTAGCTGGCCTACTGGGGAAGCTTACCGGGGGCCTCGGCGGGTTGAAACCTCCAGGTTCAGGACGCAAGCGCCAAGACGCCGCAGATGCCACAAACGCGGTGCCATTAGCGGGCGCACTACTGCAGCTCGCCGAAGCCCTCGGCGGTGGAGCTCTCAAGGACGGGAAGGTACCCGAGGGTTATAAACTGCCGGATGGGTTTGAGACCCCATCCCAAACCAAACAGGAGAAGCGCATCGATGTCGCGTCCGCTGCAAAGGGTGTGATATACGAGGTCATCGACGGCGTCACCAAGCCCACAAAGAACTTATAAGGGCCTTCTCTTGGACTGGATGTACGGGCGAGCTCGTTGATGTTTTTATTCGGGCGGCGAGAGAGGGTCGTGGACCTTTGGGGTGTTGGCGTGGAGGGTATGAAGTGGTTGTGTCTGGCTGTTGTATTCTTCGTTTCTTGTCTTAAAATATCAGGGGTTAAAAAGGTTAGCCTGTGAGGTGCACCATGGCAAGATCTTCGCCGGAAAAGCCTCAAGAGGGTTGCAGGTTTGGCGTGTATTGATTTATGTATTTTCTGTCTACCGGAGCTAGCATTTCTCACATTGCGCAGCTATAACGGCATTATAATATACCATATTAAACATACCTTCCAATATAATACTGACATTATGTATGCACTCGTTCTGCATCTCGGAATTTTTACACTCTGCCACTCGATCCCACTCACTAGAAGCATTTCACTACTTCCTCTTCACTGCTCCACTCTTCTTCGAGCTCCCCGATGCCTTCACCTCGCCGGCATTCCCCGCATTCCCCATCTTGACACTCGCATCCCCACCAGCCGGAGTAGTCAACGGCTTGTTGGCAATCTTCTCCTCGATCTCCTCGTCATCGCCACCCTGTCCGAACTCATTCACGCGCTTGTAATCAACCTTGTACTTATAGCTCTGGTACAAGTACACGAAGAAGATAACATCATCACGCAGCGTCGCCAAGCGGTGCAGCATCGGCATCTTAATGGTGAACGCGAAAAGATCGTCGATGAACGTGTTGAGGAACTTGTATGTCATAGCTCTTGCCGGCATGTGTGCGACGGACTTGAGGCGGTAGTTGATGTACAGCGATGGCACCATCATCAAGAATCCGTAGGCGTAGACGGAGCCGACGAGAGTCGCGATGATGAAGGAGTACCACGACTTGTGCGTCTCGTAAATGAGAGAGTAGGCAGCGTAGGCGATGAGAAGCGGGACCGCGACGGCATAGAGATACTTGAATGCTACGGCATCGTATTCCTTCGTCTTCTCTTCCGTCTCGGACAGCTTGTGCTTGTCTTCGAAAGCGATGCGGTATGGCATGATAGAATTTGGGTTCGGGCGGATGCGTACGTTAACCATCTTAGTTACCTTCCAGAATTCAAGCAGAATGCCCATGCCTTGACTAGCTAGAATCATCCAACTAGTGTTCTCGTTGTTATCGAGGAGATACAAGAAGATGACAGCTTGCATAAACACGTTTCCAAGGATGGCGCGGACGGAAATACCGACGTTATCCTTCTTGTTGCGGAAATGTGACTTGAGAAATTAGCAACAATTTAGAATAGTTCACGACGGGTAAACTTACAATATCGCTCTTGAATGCGAGCATTTCAAAGAGCATGTGGAAGATGCTGACTATCACGGTCGTGCTGAGCAGGTAAATGTTGGTATCAAGAAGGACCTCCTTAATCATCTCGAACTCGGAGCCATCACCGCCTCCAGGGGGCAATGGCCCTCCCATGGCAGCAGCCCTAGCAGTCGCCTTCTGGCTTTCATCAATGCTTGCAATAATGCTATAAAGCCAGTTTGCCTGGTTGTTCAGGTCAATATGGATTGGGAGACGAGTGACGGTCGAGTTTAGCTCTTCCATGTGGGCGCGGAGTTGCCAGAATGTGTTGACGAAGAAGACCGGGTAATACCAGCTGTTCTGTCCAGTCGCATCGCGGGCTCCAGTTGACTCGATGTGGGTGAACTGGCGAGCTGCAGGGTGCATGTTTGGGTACGACATAACTCCAGTGTTTGGGACGAACGACATCGTGAAGTTTGGATGATAGAAAGATTTGATAATTGGGCCTTGGATAGTGTCTTCCTCATCAATATCTTCCGTTTCATCCGCCGCAGACAAGAGGTTCTTGGTCTTCTTGGTCTTCTTCTTGGCAATATATTGTGTGAGAGGACGGATGAAGTGGTAGGCGTTTCCTGGATCATAACCCGCGACCGAGGGGTCGAGCGTGCTTCCGGTCTTTCCAATGTAATAATGACCCCAGAGGGTTCCGTTGTTTTGAACCTCCTTTGGTACATCAAACTCGGCGTCAATGACCCTCTTATCATTGGAGTCGCCAATTTTAAACGCGGTCTCATCTGCAACCACCCGCTCCTTCGGTACTCTGGAAAGTGGCTCATGCACAAATGTCGGGGACACCACAATAATGAGGTCCACTGCGACATTATCTTCCCATATTGGCGCGATTTGCTGCGGAATCGGGTTGTATGAAGCTCCTGGTGCAAGCTTGTCTGGTCGCGCAGTGTACGGAGGTATAACGCCGGTGTTGGCCGGTATCACGTTTCCTGCAGCATCTGTAGCCGTTGCAGGCTTTTGTCCCGTTAACTTGCCTAGGACAAATTGGATGGCGACAAAAATAGCGATTCCCTGAACCGCAGACTGGATGAATGGCTTGCAAGGTGTCAGCATCGAAACCCTACGCAATTGTGGCTGGTTAAGGTACTTACGCTCACGCGGCTCGTACTACCGGCTGCGGCAGCAGCTGGAGCTGCTGGAGGAGCCATCTTCAAAGGTGGTTGAAGGATGAAGCTTCGTATGTACAGTGCTGTCGTTGATGAGGCTCTTGAAGGACGAGAGAGATCGTCGCTTGGCACTGTAAGGTTAGTCGTTAATAGTGAGTGGATGCATCACAACATCATCCTCGCTAGCCTGCGATTGGGATTGGGAACAGTGGTAGTAAACAATTTTCTCAAATATAATTTTATTTACTGTTTATATTAGATCTACCGCAGCTATTTAATATCTAAACATTATAATTTATTATCGGTACTCTCTCGGCGTGGCGAAGACCGAGCACCAAGAGCTTATCAATACGTCACGTGGCGATAAACATGGGAGATGGCCTCTCCCAGGGTTCACACCTACATTCCATTTCCTCGACTTCTATTGGTCAGACACCGTTATGCCGCCGTTGCCGGTGGCCTGTCCTACGTCAGATTGGGTCCCTCTGGTCTGGGTCACTCGGTCTGGATTGGACGGCCGCCCGCCGCTTCCCTGCCACTATAAGAGTCACCGAGTCGCCCCCAACGATACTCTACTCATCTTCTCTCATAAGACAAACGAATTATCAAAGGGATATATACAGATTTATACGGTCCTTACTGCTATTCTACTACGACTTTATCATCCTCGGGTTTCTACACATACATACACGCTTGGAGCTCTTCGGTTTTCCTTTTCTGGCGAGTTGCACACTAGATCAGAATACACCCAGTGACACCTTTGTACCTCGCGCCACGAAGGACACAAAATCGACCAGTCAACACTATTGAACTCGCATCGTTTTACACATCTATAAGACCAAGGCATTATTCCGATCACAGGTGAGATAGATTTTCCCGACCCCGCTTACTTCCAAGACCTCACTGACTAAACCCGACCTCAGCTATGTCGCCGCCATCTAACATGGGTCCCGTGGAGACCCTCGACATGTTCGACAACAAGGGTCCATTCGATGCCCAGCTACAAACAGACCTCGCATTCAACGAGAAGATCGCTGCCGGAATCGTGGCGCCACAGACCGAGGAGATCGCTCTCGACCTGAAGAGCGCCCCCACCGACGACGCACCACCAAGAACTATTTGTGTTTTCTGCGGAGCTTCTTCGGGCAATTCACCAGTATTCATGGAAGCGGCTCGTGACCTCGCGCGGGAATTCCACAAGCAGAACATCAAGCTGGTGTACGGTGGCGGAACCGTAGGATTGATGGGCGAAATCGCTCGTACTCTCGTCAGTCTGTCCGGACCAAACTCTGTGCACGGCATTATTCCAGAGCCGCTCGTCGTCTTCGAGCAGGGTCCAGATAGCAAGGCCCCTTCGAAGAACGGAGGGAAGCACGGCGTTCCTGACGAAGCTACCTACGGAACAACAACCATCGTCGAGGACATGCACACAAGAAAGCAGATGATGGCACAGGCCGTCATGAAGGGAGGCCCGGGCTCGGGCTTCATTGCCCTCCCCGGAGGATATGGTACGCTGGAGGAGCTGATGGAGGTCGTCACGTGGAACCAGCTTGGCATCCACGGCCGCGGCACAATAGTCCTGAACATCGAAGGATATTGGGATGGTCTCCTCAGCTGGGTTGACAATTCGATCGGCGCTGGTTTCGTCCGCGAATCAAACCGCAGCATCATCGTCCCAGCCAAGACAGCCCAAGAAGCTGTTGAGTTCCTTTCGGACTACAAGCCGGCCGATGGGCGCTTCAAGCTTGCCTGGAAGACGCTATAAGCTGCGACATCATCCAGCGATTTCAGCACTTTTATCATGATTTGACGTCGCTATGCATATCACGGAGTTTGGGGATCACTATGTAGCTGGGGTTTTTGCATATAGCGGGTTTTTGGGGGTCTTAGGAGTCGGACTTACGATTTTTACTAGACCAGCAGTGTGCCCATTTGCCACGCATTAGATGCACCCACTGGCGTATATGCTTGCTTTTGGATGGAAAGAAAGAGAAATAAATATCGTAGAAACATACATCTTGACCATTGTAGTAACCGTAAGAATGAATCATACTATTCTTGTGACAACAAGCGGGGTGAATAAGCTTTGAGAGTGAATCCATGCATGCTCACTGTCTTCATCACGACCAACAGTCTGCCCTAGGAACTCTCAAGCCCCATATATGGCAAGAACAATTTCTAAGCAAACCCGGTCGCAATATATATGGCAGGAACGATTATCAAGCAGGCTCCTTGGAGAGCTTCAGCAGTATATAAGGAAGGAACGATTACCAAGCAGGCTCCATCGCAGCTTCCTTGAAATCTTCAGCCTTATATATGGAAAGAACGATTTCTAAGCAAGCTCAGTCGCAACTTCCTCAGGCTCCTCAGCCCTATATGGAAAGAACGATTACCAAACAGACTCAGTCGCAGCTTCCGTGAGATCTCCAGCTTTATATAGGGAAAGTACGATTACCAAGCAAGCTCGATCGCAGCTTCCTCGAAGCTCTAAAGCCCAATATATTGTAAGAACGATTACCCTTGTAGAGTAGTTTTCAATTCATTAAATTCGCAAATTGATCGCTTTAGGTGACATGATGCTAATGATACACGGTACCAAGTCCATCGTGCCTCTGATATCCACATCCCTCCGTCCCATCCATAATCGAAATCCTTCCTGTGCGTCTACCTCCACGAAGCCGCGCCTACGACTTAGAACTCCTGCTCCTCTTGGAAGAACATCCCGAAGGTAACGATGGTTCCGTAGATGAGGAGGCCGCCGATGATGGACATTATCATGGCTGGGATGGTGATAATTGCAGAGTGTGCAAGTACTGCCGGCAGTGCTGTAGATAACCAGTTAGCAAATATTCCTCTATTCCCACTCTGTAAACGCATTCGCCACCCCTCCACACGGCCACTTTCTCCCGGCCCAGGAGCCCATCCTCTCATCCCCAACCAACACAACATTCTGCCCTCAATCCATATGAGAGAGATGCAAACTCACCAATACCCATAACAACCAGCCCACCCGTAACGAACTTCCCAAAGTCTAAAATCGCATTGCCGCCGCCCTCCGCGCCGAAGTCGTCAGGATTCGCGCACCGCAAGCATATCCAGTTCGGGAGAGGTGCGATAACGTAGGTGGCGACGACGAGAAGCGGGTAGTAGGCGTGCCAGAGGGCGCATGAGAGGATGACCAGGAGGAAGCCTACGGCGAGGACCTGTTGGAATTAGTTAGTGGGGAACTCGGTGCAGGGAGTAGATCTAGCAGGTGACGGCCGTGGAGCTCGGGGCGGACGTACGAAGGAGAGGGCTATGATGGTCTTGAGACCAGCTGTCATTGTGAAGGTAGGCACCTTGGCGGTTGTGACGTGTGGACCTGCTATGCGTCTCTTTCGTCGTTTCCTCGTGGCGATAGAATTGGACGTATCTCTCAGTGCTCTATCGTTTTAATCGTATTGGAGCGCGGCGGCTACAGAGTATGCTGGATCGTGACTGACGTCTGTTGTATGTCGATTGCGAGCCTCTCGGCGGCTCGCAAGAGCTGACGTGCACACCCGATGCGGTTAGCTCAAACAACCTCAACCCACACTGATTGCAGCCTTGTGTATAAGGCTCTACAACTACCCACGCATGGTGAGCGCGCTTAACCGCGTTTGGAGCTTGAGGTGCTGCGTTGCCCTGTGCTGCCTGGGACGAGAGCTGTCAAGCCAGCAACAAGACAATAACCAACCAGCTTCAATCCCACCTCGAAGTCACATCATTCTTCCTACGCACGCTACGCCTCTAAGACCACGAGATAAATCAAAGCTAGAGGAGTAGGAATACACAGGAATTAATAGTCGATACCCAAGCGGCCGAAGCTGCGAACCATCCAAGATGTTCAGAAACAACTATGACAACGATTCGGTCACTTTGTAAGCTGACAACTTCACCACATATTCAAGTTGCTTCAGTGTAGCTAACAGGCTCAAAGCTCTCCACAGGGACGCATCTTCCAGGTCGAATATGCCAGTGAGGCCGTGAAGCAAGGTTCCGTCGTAGTCGGTCTCGTCAGCAAAACACACGCCGTCCTCGTAGCTCTCAAGGTACGTCTCACCCTCGCCTCCCCCCCCCAGATCCCTCGAATAACCTCACTGACCATTCCCAGCGCAACGCAGAAGAGCTCTCCTCTTACCAAAAGAAAGTCATCGCGATCGACTCGCACTTCGGGCTCGGTCTTGCCGGCCTCGCCTCCGACGCCCGCGTCCTCTCCAACTTCCTCAAGTCGCAATCGCTCTCCTCGCGCCTGACATACGGCCGCGCCCTCCCCATCGAGCGCGCCGTCTCCGCCATCGGCGAGCGCGCCCAGACCAACACCCAGCACTACGGCAAGCGCCCATACGGTGTTGGACTTATCGTCGTGGGCGTTGACGAGACTGGGCCGCACCTGTTTGAGTTTCAGCCCAGTGGACTGACGCAGGAGATGGTGGCGTGTGCGATTGGTGCGAGGAGTCAGATGGCGAGGACGTACTTGGAGAGGAAGGCGGAGGCGTTTGCTGATGCGAGCAGGGAGGAGTTGGTCTCGCATGGGCTGAGGGCGTTGAAGGAGAGTTTGGCGCAGGATAAGGATTTGACGGTGGAGAATACTAGTATTGGTATTGTTGGCGTTGCACTTAAGGGGAGTCAAGATATTGAGCCCTTCAAGCTGTATGATGGGCAGGAGGTTAAGGAGTGGATTGAGGCTGTTGCGGAGGGGAAGGATGATGAGGCTGAGGCCGAGGCCCCGACGGAGACGATGGATGTTGACGACGCATAAGGTGTGGGTTGAATTGGGTTGGCTATGATGCTCATACCACTAGCCGTTACGCCGCTGGGCAAAGATGGAAGGGCACAAAGGGCTCGTGAATCCGTAGGGAAGCATAGACGATCTTGGCGCTTAACATGAAATTGGCGTCTATGTATAGTACCATTATGAAAGATAATTTGCAGGGCGTCTCAATGCTATGCTCTTACGCCCAGTTTATGATCTTGGATTGCCTGAACCCAATGGCATGGTTGATGAAGTTGGCAAAAGCCACATTTTGTGACCATTGTGCTCTCTACCCGCATGCCAATCTAGGAAAGGTTTGCTCGTGAAACTGCACATATACCAGCAGAGTAAGAATGTATGTAGTACAAAAGTAATTATATTTATTGTGAAGGTAGTCAGTTCTTAACCAAGTTGGGATTTCCGCCCTGTATAAATATAATAATTTACAGTACAACTAACTCCATAGCTTACGCACAGTAACTCTATTCCACGTTGAGTGGTGTATACGCCCGCCAATATCCAGATGTTTCCAATGCTCCAAAAATACAATCCCATAATACGTTGAGTCATGCCACACCTCGCCGATAATTCTGTGTGACGCCGCGCAATATACGCCAGATGTAAACAAAAATACAAGCCAGCCCTCCTATAGTAATACACCCAGGAGATTTCAGGTTGGTTTTGGCGGCCTGCCCAAGTTAAGGCCAAGGCCGAAGCCATTCAGCGTATTGAACAGCTTGGTTTCCATCTCCTCCCTCTCGGCCCGATCCTCGCTGAGTGCTGTAACAGCTCCGCCAGCCCCGACGTACCAGGTGTCCTGGCCCTCGTCGTTCTGACACTCATCATCCCACTTGAACGCGCAGCGAATATTAACGCTAAAGTCGCCGCGACCGCCGACATCCATGTATCCCACAACTCCGCTGTAAAGGCTCCTTCGTCCATGTTCGATCTCGTTCAACAGCTCGCAGCTTCTCTTCTTCGGCGCACCAGTCATTGATCCCGGCGGTAGTGATGCAGCAAGGACATCGATGCCAGAGTACCGCGGCCCTTCTTCTGAGCCATTAGTGGAGATCTCCTGGGGAACCCCTTTCATGTTGAGATTTGCTCCGCTTCCTGAATTTCCATCGCCTCCTGGTATATTGCCAACGACTACAGTCACCATCTGCCACACACTTTCGTACTCCTCAACTCCCATGAGTCTCGTTACAGCCACGTTACCGGCGCCACAGACACCGTATAGGTCATGTCTGACGAGGTCGACAATCATAAGATTCTCCGCGCGCTCTTTCTCGACGTCTAGCAATGCCTCTGCTTCTGCACGAGTCGGCGCCAGGCTCTTCTTCACCGTGCCCTTCATTGGCCTCAGCTCGCAGCGCCCAGAGGAGGTCCATGACAGGAAACGCTCAGGGGAGCAGGAGATGAAAGTAGCAGGACCGAGGCGGATGAAAGAGGAGAAAGGAGAAGGCTGTGCAGCTCGGAGAGAGCGGTAGAGAGACCATGCCGGGCTCGATAGGGCAGGAGCATTCTTAGACGAGAGAGGCGTCGAAGATGAGATCGGAACGATAGGAGCGCTCAAGGTTGAGAGGGAGGTAAGGCACAGCTCGTAAGATTCTCCAGCGGAGATATACGACTGGCAAGTCCGAACAGAGGCCTCGTATGCGCTGGAATCTGGCGTGCATGCCTTTGCCCCGACTTTTGACGGACTTGCGAATTCCGTAGAAACAGAAGCGGTCTTTGGAAGAGCAGACGATGCACTACGAAGGAAATCGACGAGTTCCTGACCCCGCCCGTCAAGCCACCAAAGTAGCTCGGCATCCTGGTTTATGGATGATTGCGTAAGCTGCTGTAGATGCACCTTATTTTCTTGGTGGTCGATGACAATGCTGTCAGTAACCCACGCGAAGTTGAGATCCGGTCGATCGGTTCCATCAGCTGGAATTGGGGAATGTGGCGAAACGTCGATGCCCTCCAAGCCAAGCTCATACGTCGTATAACCCATAAACCCACCCCAAAACGGCACGTCCAAATTCCCGTGGTTGATTTTCCTCTTATCGAGATAGCCTGCAAGGAATGGCCATATTCCACCAAATCCTCCCATGAATACCTTCTGGGGGTTGCTTCGCGAAGTGGATGTCTTCGACGCGGGCAACACACTTGCAAACGCGTTGCCGACCGAATACTCTACTCGCAAGGCATTATCCACGTGGAGAGCAATGGTGGTGTAGCGTCCCCTGACCATTTCGGAGCCAATTCCCCTAATATTGTTGTTTGTGCTCTCCAAGACAATTAGGTCCCGGCCAGCAGCTTCCATGCGCGCAATAACGTCTGGCACGTCCACGTTGCCGCCCAAATCGACGACCCTAGACGCGTATCCATAATCCAAGTCTTCATGTTCGAAGTCATACTCTGCTCGAGATCCATTCATTTTGAACTTCTTGGCTTCCGTTTGTGCCAACAGGCTGGATCGCACTGGCATTCCTGCCTTTGCCCTCCCTCCCCGTACAATCTTCCTTCCAGTCTGCGCGTTGTGATTTTTTACCTCACCCATCCAATTCAAGATGACCTTTTTGCTTTCCTCATTCGTGCATATGCTCTCGGGGTGGTACTGTAAACCCCACCATGGCCTCTCAGAGTGCTTCGATGCCACCAAGATTCTCTTATCTCTTCCTTCAACTTGCTGCTCCACCCAGGCCAGAGGTTCGATTGTGCCTTGCCTATCGACCCCAGTGTATTTCCACTTAGCAGTCCACTTTTCGGCCTCCCATATCTCAGCTGATACTTCATTTTGCCCAAGATCGACACAAAGGCTCTGGTAAAGCGTCGTATCAACCTCTCCGACTCCTTGGTATATTCCCCGGCCGCAATGAGTTACGCGCCTGACAACACCATGCATGCCGCCCCCGGTCAGTCTCCGAATGGCTCCACCGCCTTGCAATCCCAAGCTTTGGAATCCTAGACATATTCCGAGTATGGGGATATCAACCCTGGTGTCGCTTCCACCCCCATTGGCATAGGCCGATGCTACCCATATTCTCCGCATCAACCCGACGTCTGATTCATTCTCCGGGTGCCCGGGTCCAGGTCCCAAAACAACTGCATCGTACTGTTTCAGCTCCTCGGCGAGAGAGGCATCGGTAGGGAAGAGCAGTGTATCGATGCGAACCACTCTCACAGAGCAGTTCAAAGTTGTCGTGAGGAGCGATATGATATTATTCGTAAAAGAGTCATAGGCGTCCACGAAGAGGATTGATGGCCTCTGGCATTCGGTTTTGGCTGGCATTGGAGGATTCCTAGGGCCCAAAACCACAGTTTAGCCAATTCAAAGGGGAGAAGCTGGTGTGCAAGACAGCCCTATTGGGCAGCTGGAGTTCAGAGACTTTATGTATTTCTCGTTCTGCCCCGGGCGGTGACGCTAGAAGTGGAATGGTGGCATCCCAAGAATTTGGGCGATCAGTCAAGTCAGCCTTGTCGCAAGGCTAGGGAAGACGGGCAACCAATTCTCGAGTCGATGATAACAATGAAAAAGAGCCAAGACGAAATGCGAAACGTTGTTTTGATCGAATTGATCTGCTACGGTTTAAAATCAATTTAATATACACTATTTAGCTTCGATTTACAACAATGTAGCTTGAACCCTCTGGGTTTTCTCCGTATTTGGAGTGAAGGGGAAAGACAGAAGCAAGACAAGTGCAGGGATGTAAACAGAAACAACATATGCATGTTAAGCAGGGACCGAAGGCATTAATCGAGTGTATTGCAGTTTCACGTAGAACGAGATTCTCTGGTATCGCATTAATCGTACTACTATAACTATAATAGCTGCTGTGGGACATGCGCCTAATCCCCCCTTTTATAACCCACAAGAAAATACAGAAACCGTGTATGCGACAGACCAACAGCCTCTGTCGCACAAACAAGCAGTCTATGCTAGAGAACAAGTATATAATACAATAAAACCAACAAATCGGCGTAGGTCGGTGCCTGCATCTCGCCATCTTCGTCTTAACATCCCTCCCCTCACCACCGTCATAAGCCAAACATCTCTCCACCCGCGTGTCCCGGAGGCTTTGAATTCCAAGAACGGACCGGCATAAAACCCTTGAGGCTCCTTTAGCAAACGCCTTCTTTAAGAATAGTCTGATCGATTGCTGCGGTCTCAGAATTTAGATGCGTTGGCATCACGCGCACTCTGGCTGCTGGCGCTCATTGGAATGTTGGTCGTTGGCAGGCTCATCTTTGATGCAGCAGTCTGTCTGACCTTTGCCCATGCGTAGACCATTCCACTTACGAAACCCAAAAGAATAGCTGACACGCTACCAAAGGTGATAGGGGCATCGAAGAAGACAAGACCGCTGACGGCAATTGGCAGCTTGTTGAGGGCTCCAACCATGGAATACGTCGTCGATGAGGTAACACGGATGCACCATGCTGAGGCGTAGGAGATGAAAATGGTGGCCAAGCCAGAGTAAATCATTGCCAGAATTTGGCTATTGCGAGACTCGACGGGGAAGTTTGCGTTGAAGTTTACGGATGACCAATCTTCGATGAGGATGGAGAGGACGATCAACACCGGGATGGTAAGGAGATTGTTGTAGAACATGGCTGTGAATCGGTCAGTACGTTGGTCAATATCTTATTCGGGAAAACAACTCACTGTCCCAGTCCTTGAAGTTCATCTTCTTGATAGTCTTACGCATGCCCAGGACGTAGGAGGCGGTGAAGAAAACATTAAGTCCCATCCAAGCATAGCCAGCGTTCAAGGTAGAAAGCTGGGCTGCTGCTTCGATGTTCTGGCCCGAAAGTGTCGAGGTGCCAGCACTGGCTGCTAAAGCGTGCTGAACATCTGCCCATGCAGCAATGACGGAGCTGAGAACCATGAGTCCGAATGCGAAAAGGGACGAAGGAGAGACGCTTCCTCCGAACCAAAGGACTTCTCCATATGCAATAACGATGATAGTCAAGTTCTTGAAAATGGTATACACTGGTACGGAGAGGAATTGGAGAGCCTTGGTGCTCGTGTAGATCATACCAACGAGGAGAATGGAGATTGGGAACCCTGGTTACACCATGGTCAGCAAGCGTCAGGTAGTGGGATATTCGCGCTAAGCATACATCTCTTTGCCTTCTCATTGTCAAACTTCGCTAGGTCTTTGATGAGGCCCATGGATTTGCAAGCTTGAATCGCAATAATGCAAACGATCGACTGTAGTTTGTTAGACAAATTCTCTACCGCCAGAGGATGTTGACATACCTGGAATCCCAGAAAAAAGAAGCTCATGTTCCATTTATCTCCTGAAACACAGAACTTGTTGATGACCGTCATACTGATGGAGGCCAAACAGTATGCAAGCACGGAAAGCCCTGGGTTGTTCACGATGCTCGAAGGCGCCGAAGGCATCCCCATGCTGGGCGACGGTCTGTTGAGTGCTGGCGAAGAACGGGACGCCTTCGTAGGGATCTCAATCGAATAATCATCGTCTCTTTTCTTGCCGTCCATGGTTGCGGTTGGGAAGACTCGCTGTCTCCTGAGCTGAAAGCCGATGCGCTTGGGTTATGCAGCAAAAGGGGAATACAAAGCCCGTTGAGCAGGTCAAACGGGGAGGTCTGAAAGCTGCAGCGTTGTCGCCGTCCGTACTATATCAGCATCAGGTAACGAATGACTATTGTTTCGGAATTGGACAGGAGCGAGTTTTCCTTTGGTTTTCGAGAACTGGACTTGCCCACCTTTCTGGTCTTCCCAAATTAGACCACAACCAGGAGGCAAGATTACGCTTACATAAGCATATTTGGGACCACAAAAAGTATGCACGGGCCCCATCATGGTCCCAGGTCGCCTATCGCAATTATCTAGCGATTCAGAATTGACTGGTGGGGTTACTTGTGAGAGCATCCTACCAGCAATAATGGCTAAAATCGATGCCCAAGTGGCAGCTCTGGTGGATAAGACCGACTATAACTCGGATGATGAAGATGCGCTCATTGAGTCTTTAGAAGACTCCCCAGCTCTCGACGCGTTCAGAGAGCAGCGTATACAACAGCTTCACGCCGAGTTTACACGGGCAAAGACCCAGAAGAACCAGGGATTTGGCGACTACACCGAAATTCAAGATGAGAAGGCATTGATGGACTTGACTACATCTTCGAAGCATGCCGTGGTACATTTTTCAAAGGAGGACTTTCAACGTTGCAGGGTTATGGATAGCCACCTTGAGGTTTGCTTGCCGGTTGAACTGTATTTTGGAGTGCTATTCTAACTGTAGCGTTCAACAGGCACTGGCTAAAAAGCATTTCGATACCAGATTCCTCAAGATGAACGTTGATAACGCCCCGTTCCTTGTTACGAAGCTAAGGGTCCAGGTCCTGCCTTGCGTTATCTGTTTCGTTGGTGGTATTAGCGTCGATAGGATCGTAGGCTTCGAGGGGTTGTCATACACTGCAGATAACTTCACTACTGCCGACCTTGAAGCGCGGCTACTTGGATCTGGCGTCGTCCAAAGAGCGAAGACGCAGGGCGATGGTGGCGTTAGATTTGGCGTCAAGAAAGCTCTGAAGGAAGACAGCGATAATGATGACTGGGATTGAGAGGCTTTATCTAGGCTTTGGTCAAAGTTTCAGGAACTTTGCCGCGGTGAGTTTGCCCGATGGCTACCACAGCACACCAGCATACATCTACCAGGCCAGTAGAAGACCTGAGTATGCTACTCCCGTAACTCTCTTGGCGTAGCCAAGTATCAGGAAGAGGCTTACTCTGCCATGTCCCTTTGAGACATTGTGACAGGGGAAAAAGAAGTGGCGGTGAAAAGATTGAGCCAAATATCAATTTTACCAATCGCTATAACTCTCCAGGTCCCTTGGTCCCACCTCAGGGGATGAAGTTTGAGATGAGACTATCGCACGTGGAATTATACCACGAATCAAGCCCGAGAAAGGTTTACATTCATAGACCTTGCTAGAGTTCTTCAAGAAAATATGACGAGATGATCAATACGGGTTATGTTGATCAGTATGAATGTGGTTGTAAATGTGCATATACGGCTAAAATCATGTGAAATGGTGCAACCCCGCTGGTCAGCACTGGTGGGGTCACCAATCGTCCGTCATCAATACGAGGGGTAAACCATCACAAATCAAGCTTCTCTCCAACGAAATACTATAAATCAACCCGTACCCCTTTGATCCTTCGTCTTTCTAGAATATATTATACCCTACATACGCCAACATGATAGCCTACTGGTACGACAACTTGCCCGTGAGTTATCCCGTCTTCTCCATGTCGCATTTCCACTGACGGCTTCCCAGGGCGACCAGCGCGAACCCCACGACTCCGGGCGCGAGGTCTCCCTCTACCAGCTCTCGCGCGTGGGAGTCCTCTACTATAACTACTCCGAGCTCGAACAAGTTGATGCTCTGGCGTCGGAGCGCTCATACAAGAACCGCGATGTGATCACCGTATCGCCGAGCGCGATTGGCGAAGTCTACGAGACGAAGGTCCAGTCGTTCTTCGCAGAGCACATGCACGAGGATGAGGAGATCAGATATATCCGCGACGGAAAGGGATACTTTGATGTGAGGAACGAGGGGGATGAGTGGGTGAGGATTTTGTTGGAGAAGGACGACTTGATTATTCTCCCGGCGGGCATTTATCACAGGTTTACGACCGACACGAGCAATGTGAGCATACCCACGCATATCCAATTGAGCTTGAAGCCAGAAGCTAACGCGACACAGTTCATTGTTGCAATGAGATTGTTCAAGGAGGAGCCAAAGTGGACGCCGCTGAACCGTGGGCCAGACGTCGATATCAACCCCTACAGGCAGGAGTATGTCGACAAGACATTGAAGGTTTAAGCCAGGGAAGCAAGTACATAGTAGATATGAGCCAGTATTAGCAATACTGAGATTGATGAATACCCATTTTTAAACTATACAATGTCCCTAGAATTTTTTTTTTACTAAGTTAAGTTATACGTTGCAGAAAGTACGTGGCACTTTTATACCATAGCTCCGTCCACTATCAACCCAAATTCAACCCCCGTACTGTTCCCCACCAAAACCATCTCTGCATGGCGTAGCTTTATGGCCCGCTTCCTTTAATAACTCACCACGTCCCAGCCAATCAGCCGGTGCCTTTTAGCATTTGAGCGCTCATGGGATTTGGCTTTATCTTGTGAGGCGTCTCGAGAGGATGGATGCCTTCAAAGCCGAAGACTTGTGCTACCATGGAGTCGCCGGGGACATGGCCAACGGGAGTGGTGGCGACGCAAAGCAACCCAAACACACGTCTCCTGATAGAGCGAGGCATGACTTTAAAGTCGAGCTCCCATCTAGTTGTGATCCTCCAGGTCCGAATAACCCACCGAAGCAGCTTGTATGGATAGTAAGTCAACAATTTCGCTTCTTCAAAGTTGTCAAGGCGGTGGACGGTGTCTGTTTCATGGCACATGACTAGAGAGCCCCTTCTAGCAACAGAGGCTGCGCAAGGAATTGAATATCTCAAGTGCCAATTTATGCATATCTAACACATCTCAGATCTTCGGCGCAACAGGCCACATCGGCCGCTCCCTCACCAGCTGCGCCCTGCGGCACAACGACCTCGTCGTCGCCGTCGGCCAAACCCACGTCAACCCCCCCGCCTCAATGCAAAACTGGCACCCCAACTGTCTCGGCACCCTCTGTGACGTGCGATTGCGTGCCACCGTCAAAGCCGTGATGACCAAAGCCATGGCTCACTTCGGACGCATCGACCTGATTGCGAACTGCAGCGGGACGGCGATCATCGGCGCGTGCGAGGACCAGGATGAGCACGAGATCCGCAATCAGATCGAGACGAATTTAATGGGCACGCTGAATATACTGCAGCTCAGCCTGCCGATTTTCCGCGAGCAGGCGCATGGGCGCTACTTGATTTTTAGCTCGACGACGGGCGCGCTAGGTGTGCCGGGCTTGGGGCCGTATTGCGCGAGTAAGTATGCGGTGGAGGGGCTCATAGAAGCTCTACTTTATGAGGTCGATGCGTTTAATATTAAAGCTACTCTTGTGGAGCCGGGGTTGGTCCGAAGGGATGACCCAGATCAACCCGAGAGAGAGAAGATTGTGGGCACAGGTCTCCCATTATATGGGCACTTCCTAATCAAGCCGGCGAGTAAACCGTATAGCAGTCCCACCAGCCCTGCGCAGCATTATAAGCGCATGGTGCAGTGGTTGGGAGACAGGCAGCCAACGAGTGTGGTGAAGAGCGCAGAGCTGGTGTGGCAACTGGGACATTGTAGTTTTCCACCGCTGAGGCTACTTTTGGGGAGCTTTGCGGTTGAGAGTATTAGAGACAGGCTCAGATGTGTGATTGAAGAGGGAGAAGACTGGAGGGAGTTGAATTGGCCAAGCGAGGAAAGCACTGGTGCAGGCGATGAGAAGGATGAGAAGGAAGAGCCGGAAAGGGATGAGGAGGCCGATGAGGATGTTAAAGTAGGGCTGCATAACTGAAGCCCTGGCGATGATTGCCCACAAGGCCGAGCAGAGGTTTTAGAGATACAGTATATGCACAGGTCGTATATACAGCTAATATTCTACCAGGGTTAGAAAATCAATTATAATCATGATTATTTAGTCGTAATCATAATCATGATTAACGTGGTTTATCAGTACGTCGGACATATCAGTACCTCGGACACTTTTCATTGGCATTCTACTTTGAATATCAATAAATCAACCATAACATATTAAATTAACTATAACTAAGCGGAATCAGATGAACTAGACATATCTATAGCTTCTTGACAAGTTCGCGCATTATGACCAGCTTTTCCACAGATCCCACAGCATCGCCTAGACGGTTGCCCCTCCTTGCGACTACCCCCAACCGCACGTACGTCGCATCGTACCTGCTCATCCACATCCTTCTGTGCGATAATAGCCTGTGCATCCTCTACTATAAGTGCACCTCCTTCACGGACACGAGCCTTTTTAGCCCTGCGGCGTTTGCTAAGGGCTTCGTTGGCTGCTCGAAGGGTACGTACCTCAGCAGACAGAAGGGTGTTCTCATGTGCTAGTCGCTCCGTACCCTTTGCCAACGCAATAACTGTCCCGAAGAGTGTGTAATGGTGGGTGCACCAGATGTGAGAATCTAGCCACCCAAGGAAGGGATGATTTTACTAAGACAACACACTGTCTTAGGAAACAGAGCCAAAGGGTTGTAGCTTAGACTATTCCACAACACAGCAATCAGGTGTGTGATGTAGTGAAGTGGTTCAGACAAGTTGCAACAAATGTTGAGTCTGGGAACTCAGGGGTAAGTCAGAGGTTAACACCTCACTGACTTTTCAGAAACAAGGAGTAACAAGATGAATGCTTGGAAGCTTGTAAAAGACGTGGAAGTATGTGATAGTCGATTTACTGTATTGTCTGCTTGCCCTTTCTTAAGGAAAGGGCAATCCTATTTATGCCAAAGGAGTGTAGTTCTCTCATTTTCCATGACTTTCCATGACTAACCAGGCTTGGTAAATGTATTAGAAATCAAGTGCAACCCACAACTAGCTTGCTAATCATGTAACGAATGTAAGAGAATCCCATAGAACCATCTCTTGGGTTCCTAGCCTATAGGAAGTGAAAAGGAGGTCCAAGGTCAGAGTACCTATAGATAAATTATGTCATAACTTAACCAATCTTGTGGGTAACTAAGGAGCGATGACGTGTAATGAATTATAGAGGGTTGTAGAAGCTTCTAGAGCTATCGTCATGTTCCTAGGCCTCTAGTTGGTAGAGATATGCCATGTGGTAGTATTGGCCCACCCCCTTAAGGAGGAGATTTTCTTAATAACTTGTTCAATAAGTGTCCAAATGATATGCCGTGATGTATGTAGCATAAACAGATGTAGTAGAAGAGTTTGCAGCAATCGTTGAGTAGTATTGCTTCTGTTGTTGGTGTGATAAGCCAAGATATGTATGGTGACTTGTAGGTTTGAGGAGGAGATTTCTAAGTTTGCTCTTGAGTTTGATAGCAAACTGAGTGCAACGAATGTCAGTATAACAGAGTGGAGTTGGCGAGCTTCCTTGGTGATGGGCAATTCGATTTCGAACGAGGGTTGTTTGTGAAAGAGCTTCAGTTGGGTTGGAAGGGGTCTGGGAGACCCAAGGGTTGGTGTTGGCAGTAGAGGGTCTAGAGGGAGTTGGAGTCCGTAACCTCACGTCAAGCTTTGAAAGCACTGCTTGCGGGTCGAAAGGCACTAAGCCAGCTCCGCGGAACCCGGACTGGGCGTTTTGGGCTGTCATGGATTCCAGATATGCTGCTCTAAAGGCGAGAAAGAACTCGACCTTGGTAATGTGGTTGATATGAGCCTTAATGAAGGTCTCAATCTGCCGACCATATGCCCGCTTCAACACACTAAAGCACCCGACATCAAGTGGCTGAGTTAAATGAGACGAGTGGGGAGGTAGTCCAAGAGTTATAATGTTGTGTGCCTTGCAGTACTCTTGGAACTCGGCCGATTCATGACTCTCGTGCCCGTCTAACACCAGCATTCGATATGGACCCCTTGCACGAACAGCAGTATGTTTGTCGAAGTGTTTCAACCATTCTAGACCCGTCTCATTGTTTGTCCATCCATTGCTTGTCGGTTTAACAACCCAGTTGTGTGGAAGGCCGCCGTCTGTATACCAATTTGCAAGATGATTCTTGCCTTTAACTACCAAAAATGGAGGAATACTCCAGCCGTCACTGTTGATACAAGCAATCGCTGTAGCCCACAAGTCGATCTGCACGGGTAACAACCATTGCAGGGCAAATCACACCCATCATAAACCCAGTTTCGTCAAAGTTATAGAAGTCGCAGTCCAAAACACCATATTTTGCCCTTGTAAGGATGCCTCCGTACCTAGATACTCGAAGAACCTGTCTCAGAACTGTTACGGTCACTACAAACATGGAATCCGACTCAGTGGGGTTTCGAACCAGTAGAGGATCATATAGCGAGTTACACTATAGTGGGGGACGGTAAGTGTATAGGGTTCAGGGCCGATGTAGACCTGTTGCGGTGGAAGGTTCAGGGCTAGGGTTGGGATAACCGAGTTGGGCCCGTTTCGGGAGTTAAGGAAACAGACTCAACGGGGTTCCCCCTTCATCTTTTTTGTATCCTTCGTAGTAGACCTATAGGATAGCATCCGTTTAGCCTCTGACTCGCACTCTCATATGCTATTACTGTGAGCTGGGTGCCCTGTGTCCTTACAGCCCTCATATTTTCCACTAGTCGAAACCACGCGCCAATTAGTTCAGGATCTTTGCACAAGGCCCTTTGGAAGTCGTAAACGCGATTAAAACGCGTCTTTAATTCTGGACATCGTTGTACAAATCGGTGGGCCCAGAGCTTCCCGACGCGCCTCCCTCCATGCGATTCGAGTATAAAATTTGCCATATCTTCTACACCAGCAAGCCGGGGTGCAAATCCTCTTGAATCCATATCAAGTATATTCCGAATAACCACCTCCTCTTCTAGTATAGTTAATTTCATCATTGCAGGCCGGCATTCGTAGACAGTAGTTCGGCCGTTCATTCTGTCGCAGAGTGTAGAATGAGGTACTTCATAGAGCTTAGCAGCCTTCCGACGACTTAGATTTTTTGATGTTAGGATAGCCTCGATAGCTAGAATGATTTTTGCTTCTTGGGTAATCACTGACATAATAAAAGGTGGAAAAAACGCGTTGTGAAGTTAGAGGGTAGGAAATTCGGGAAAAGTGTCCGAGGTACTGATATGTCTGACGTACTGATAAACCAAGTTATTTATAAAGTGTATAATCATGACTATAGTCTATACCTTATTGGGTTTAGTTATCATCTAATTAGGTATAGTTTAGATAAGCGATAAGATAAGATAAGATAAGAAAACTGAAATGTTTCTAGAGAATTCTACAAACTTCTACAAACTTCTAGAGAGTTCGAGATGCTTATAAATGCTTTTAAATATATCTATAACATTTATCAGTAACGTACATGTATAGCGAAAGCGCCAAACAAGCGAAAGCGCCAAAATTATCTACCCTCACGACAAACATTGCGATAAATCTACCACAACATTAGAAATCAATTGAAACTACTCGGAGTCCTCTTCCTCAGAGGTGTCTATTACAATCTGACACGTGCGCGCATTGTGCCCAGTCTCACCACACTTGCCACAGCGACGGGCACGGGTTTCTTCCCTTGGCTTCCGACCATGGCTTGCCCTTATTTCCTGCTCTACCTGCTGCACAACATCCCTCTCATCCTGTAGCTCTTGCGCCCCTTGTTGACTAAGTGATCCTCCTTGCTGTAGTCGTGTTTTCCTAGCTCTCCGGCGCTTGCTTAGTACTTCATTTGCCTGTCGTAGGTTTTGGTTCTCTCCCTTTAGCAGTGCTAATTGATGCATTATTTGCGATGCACCCTTTGTAAACTGGTCAACAGCTGCATAGATTGAGGTTGGAGAGCTATTTTGATGGCGTGAAATCCGAGTTTTAATAAATGTAGACTGTGACATAGCTTCAATTGGGTTGTTTGGTGTCTGAGAAACCCAAGGTTGAGCAGTACCTGGGCGGGAGCTTGGAGGCGTTGGTGTCCTTAACTTAAGATCAAGTGTAGATATCACTCTCTCAGGGTCAAATGGAAGAAGCCCTGCCCCTCGGAACCCGCCTCGAATGTTACTTTCCGTCATTGTAGTGTTAAATGCAGCGTGGAAGGCAGGAAAGAAGTCATCCTTTGTAATATGAGAAATATGAGCCTGCATCATATCTTCAATTTGCCGACCATAGGCCTGCTTTAACGGGCCGAAACAGCCAACATCAAGTGGCTGGAGTAGATGAGAAGAGTGAGCAGGCATACAAAGCGTAATAATGTTGTGTTCCTTGCAGTACTCCTCAAACTCATCTGAGTGGTGGCTCTCATGACCATCAAGGACTAACAAGCGATAACCACCAACACTCCGGGCCTTTGTATGCTTCTCAAAGTGCTGAATCCAATCCATGCCTCTCTCGTTTGTAGTCCAGCCATTTTCAGTAACAGAAATCACCCAATCGCTTGAAAATCCACTATTCTCATACCAAGATGTAAGGTGGTTTTTGCCTGCAACAATGATAAATGGTGGTACTGCCCAACCTTGAGAACTAATGCCTTGGATTACTGTAACCCATTCCCGATTACCAGGCTGTACCTTCTTTGCTTTTGCCCGCCCGTCTGAGCTTGTTACAACCATAGCAGTTGAGATAACGCCCATCATAAACCCAGTCTCATCAAAGTTGTAGATATCTGCTTCATCGATACCATATTTCGCAATTGTGTTACGCACAAGCTCAAACCAGCCATTAATAACTTCTGGATCTTCGCACTTAGCCCTCTGGTAGTCGTATTTGCGCTGAAAGCGTGTCTGGAGCTCTACACGCCGCTTAACAAAGTTTGAAGCCCAACGCGACCCAACGCGTGACGCGTCGCGTGTTGCAAGTAGTCGACTTGCCATATCTTCAAC